CTCCCACTTCTTCTGGGATTCATGGGTTTTTGCTTTGTAAGTTGCAGGTTGTAAGGAAATAAACGAGTTCCTGCTTGACTGACTATCTGCTGCGTCTGATTGTCTCTGGACCCCAGGAGCTGCAGGGGCACTTCCCCTCCTCAGCCAGGGCCAGCTGCAGGCTTCGGGTCTCCCTTCTCCCCATTTCTCCCCTTCCCCGTCTGTCTCTCTGTCTTTCTCTGCTCTTCTCCCTTCTCCCCTTTTCCTTTTTCCCCTCCAAAACCCACTAAATGAATATTATTTACTTAATAATAACCTCACTCTGCATGGTGTGCCTATCCATCTGTCTCTCAACACCACAGCTGTGGCTCCTCGTGAGACTGGCTGCCCTGCCGAGGTCTCTCACCCACCACAAAGCTCTGTGCCTAGGACAGAAGTATGTGTTTGATTAACAGCAATTACAATCTACAACCTAATCTTCAGAGTCCTGGCCTGTTTATTCCCAAGAAGCAGAGCTGATACTCCCATCAACCATCCTACCTGCCAAGCAAAGAACACAACTAATATAGCTGCTCTGTCAACAGGAAACCCTCTCTCAGTCAAATAGAAACCTAGCCCAGATATGTCCAAGTTCCAGAGTAAATAGGAAAAAGGGAACAGAAGGCTTCCCATGCTGTTTAGTACCAACTCTCATGGGAGGATACAGAGTTTGAAACATAACAGATTCTCAACTAAGCCACCTAAGCCCAAAGTTAAGAACTACTTCTTTATATAATGACTGCCTTAGCCACTGTTCTATTGCTGAAGAGACACCACAACCAAGGCAAATCTTAAAAAAGGCTTGTTCACAGTTTCCAAAGCTTAGTTCATATGAGCATGGCAGCAGGTAGATGTGATCCTGAGAGCTACCAGAATCCATAAGCAGAGAGAGAGAGACAGAGAGAGAGAGAGAGAGAGACAGAGAGAGAGAGAGAGACAGAGAGAGAGACAGAGAGAGAGAGAGAGACAGACAGACAGACAGAGACAGAGACTAGGCCTGGCATGGGCTTTTGAAACCACAAAGCCTACCTCCAGTGATACAGATCCTCCAACAAGGCCACACCCAGTCTAACAAAGCCACACCTCCTAATCCTTCTCAAATAGTGTCACTCCCTGATAACTAAGCATTCAAATACATGAGCCTATGGGGGCCATTCTTATTCAAACCACCACAGTGAATAACTGCTTTGCATGTCTTCAATAAAAGAGTTGATATATTATATATAAGTTTGATTGCTAACAGTCTCCACCTATCCCCTGCCTCTCCTTTTGAATCAGGGTCTCACTCAGAGACTCAGGATAGCCTTGAACTCACAATCTTCCTGTCTCAGCCTACCACATGCTGAGATAACAGGCATGTACCAGCACACCTATCTAACAAGATAACAATTCATGGTGTTTCACATATTTATTTCTTTCCATGTATAAATGAAGAGTCTGTATAGAATATATAAGCAGTTCTCTACATTTAGAGTGCAGATGTTAAAGTCATAGTGTTGCAGAAAGGACCATGAGGCCAGGCCAGGGAGAGCATGAGGTTAAGAATCTTCCAAATACGGAAGCACACTGATTTTGCCATAGACATTTATAATGATAATGCAACACAATGGTGGATCAACTCTTGCCTTCTGTGCACTCAAAACCATCACTCCCCTTGGTAGACAAGTTCAAGGCCACTCAGGTTAAAAAGAATCTCAGTTGCACTGCAGGATACTCTTGCTGTGACACTAAATATTGTTTATTTTAAAGTCTCAGCTCTTCAGTCAGGCACACATAAGCACTTCTGAATACCCGAGTATAATGGTGTTTCAGAAAAACTGGCTGCTCAAATCAAAGCAGTTATGAAAATGAACAAACCGTGAGTCAAGTTATATTTTTTTCCTCCCTTTCTTTTCATGAAATACCCTTTAAACTCTTTTAGGAATTAAAAATTTTTTTGATACTGGGTCTTGCGATATACTCTGGACTAGCCTTCAATTCTTGATCCTACTGTCCCAGTCTCCAATGCTCAGATTACAGAAAAGTGTGACTATGACTGATTTTCTTTATTTATTTTGGGTTTTTCAAGATAGGGTTTTTCTGTGTAATAGCTCTGGCTGTCCTAGTACTCGCTTTGTAGACCAAGTTGGCCATGAACTCACAGAGATTCACCTGCCTCTGCCTTCCAAGGGCTGTGCCACCACTACCTGGCTATCACCTATCTATCTATCCATCTACCTATCTATCTATCCATCTATCTATCTATCTATCTATCTATCTATCTATCTATCTATCTATCCTATTTTCATATACACTGTTTTTAATGACAAACAGATCAGAATTATTCTGCTTGCCCAATTAGCGCAATGCTCTGGGTTCAGTTCACAACACTCCCAAACAAAACATTCCAGGTTACTTTGACAGAACACTAGCAGGTGTGTAATGTGGCTCATATTTGTCATCTCAGCAACTGGGAGGCTGAAACAAGAGGATCTGAATTCAAGGCTAGCATGGGCTTTAGACAGCAAGATCCTGTCTAGAAAAAAAGAAAAAAACCAGAAAAGTAAAAAAGTGAGACCGTCACTTCAAAGAAAAGTATGAAAACATATATCACTAATAAAATTCCAGCTTTCAGCCGGGCGGTGGTGGCGCACGCCTTTAATCCCAGTACTCCGGAGGCAGAGGCAGGGGGATCTCTGTGAGTTCGAGGCCAGCCTGATCCACAAAACTAGTTCTAGGAAAGGCTACAAAGCTACAGAAAAAAACCTGTCTCCAAAAACCAAAATAAATAAATAAATCTAGCTTTCAAATGAAAACTAGAATCCTGTCTACTACATTAACACCTGAAGAGTTCTAACAAAATGGATAACATTGAGGAATGTGATCATTTGATAGTCTATACAGAATACGTCAACATCAGAACTACGTAACACAGCCATTAATATCCAAATGAACTGTGATTGATGCTACAAAGTCAGGCGGAGTGCACACTCTCCATTTAAAATATAAGGTGCGCCGAGCGGATTTCAATGCAGCAGAGTGAGAAGAACACAGTAGTCCACACTTCCAATTCCACTCCACAACCCACCCTTTAAACACCACCATCTGCCCCACGTTGGTGTGATAAAGAAGACTGCCCATGGGTACCTAAGGAAGTTATTAGAATATTTTCTTTCCAACTACAAATGAGTATGATGTAAGACTTTCCTTCTTAAATCAAAATAGAATAGAGAAATAGATTAAATGTAGAGGTTTATATTAATTTCATTAATTTATATTAATTTCATTAATTAGGAATCAAGCTATTTTGTACTGTTACTTCGGTGCCCACTGACAGATGAATGGAAAAATATGCATGTAATGTAATTATTACTTGATAAATATATTAGTCCTTTAAAACTGCTCCACTTTTCATTTTATATGGTTAACTATGGGTGGATAAAATCGACAAAAACTAAATTAATGTTCCTAGGTTCTCAGCCATTTTTCAAAGGTAAAGGGGGTCCCAATATTAAAAAGTTAGCGAAGAGAACTATCTGTCTTATAATGGAAATTTATTCTCTCTTCTTGCTTTTCTAAGTGAAGATCTTCATTTCCAGGTACAGCTTTCATTTGACAGCTACACCACTTCCAGCCAGGAGACCAGAAATACAACAACAAATTCCGCCCAAAGAATGACCACAGTCATCACGGAACTCTTCAGAATCACTATTGTCCCCTGGGTGCACAGCAGCTGCAAGGACTAAGGAACACAAAGATCCACGCAGATGAGTGGCAAAGCACAATAGAAAACCAGGAAAAGCAGAAATGCTGACGGTTTAACGTAGTTTAGTGCGCCTCTATAAAAATCACCAAGTTCTTTTTTTTTTTTTTTTTTTTTCTGTTGAAGTCTCACTTAGTGTAGGGCAGATTTGACAGTGGAAGAAGTGGAGGCATTGTTTCCGAAAACCGGCATATCCGTGCGAAGAATTTAATTCCCTCACCATTTTGCTACTGGTCTGTAGCAAAGGGGTGTGGTTAGAGCTGCGCTAGGAAGAAAGTCAAAGCAGCAGCCTCGGCTGCCCCAAACGGTATCCAAGCAACAATTCTGGGCCATGTCAATTTGCCAGGGTAAGAGGCCGAATGTTTTATGGTAAGGAAGAAAATAAAAATGAAGTTAGAAAGCAAGGACGGAAACAAGTATCAAAATCACAACGGTCCCGGGTGCATATTAAACGCCCGGAACGCTAACATATACAAGAGGTGCGTATGGAAATGCTTTATTCCCGAGTACCCAGCTGCGGCACTTTCTCACGTCTGCAGTTCGGAAGGGAACGTCGCGCTGTCTCTTGGTATTTATTTTGGGTTAGGTCTGTGAACCACCATTCTCACAGACTGCGGCTGAAGCAATCCCAAACAAAGGGGAAAGGATGGCCTCCTGAGGGAGGCGGGGAGGGAAAGGTGGCCTCAGGTTGCCGTGCCAGGTGTCCCCACGGGGTCCACCAAGCAGGCAGCGGGAAGGGACAGTCCCAGGAGCATCGCCGGGGTACGACAGGGCTGCACCAGGCCCCAAGGCACTGGCGGACAGACGACCCCACCCTGCCCACGGTCAAGGTTAACCCGCCCACCAGAGTACCTGTGGAGGCCTCGCACAGCCGAAAGGCACAGGGTGATCATGGGCACGCCGGGGGGCCGGCAGCAGCGGGCGCGTGGTCCTCCGGTCTGTGGTTGCGGGAGGCGGGCGGTGGAATCTACGGGGCCCGGGAGCCGAGAGTGGGCCTAGCCGCGGAGACCAGAGCTCAAGACGCCGCGGCCAGCCCTGCCAGCGCCCTCCCACGTGCTGCAGCCCCACGCCTGCGCCCGCGGCCCCGCCCCTCGGCCCGCCCCGCATCCGGCTCCGCCCCCGGAGCGGCCCCGCCTCTCGCTCCGCCTCTCTCCCTGTCCCGCCTCCACCCCCACCCACTTCGTGCCCTGCTCCGCCCCAGGGGCGGATCCAGCAAGAACCAGCTCGGAGAGCCTAGCGAGCAGCCGGGTGGGCTGAGGGGGCGGCGGCGGTGTAGGAGCCGGGGAAGTTTGGGAGACCAGTTCTGCCATCCAGAGCGCCGCTCAAGCCCCGAGGACCGCGGGGGCAAGTCGCCCCGCTTCCCGACGACTCCGGACCTGCAGTCGTCGTCTCTTGTCCTTTTGCCTGGTAAGGGGCTTCTGTCTGGAAAGGGTGCGTCTCCTGCAGCCCCAGATGGAGGCCTGCACCGCGCACCCCGTGCAAACCCGGTCTGGGCTGAGGCAAAGCCGGGGTGCAGCGGGGAGAGAACCATGGAGTGGGAGGTGGATGTGATTGGAGATGTAGGAGAGGAAGCTTGGAGGAGGTTGGACAGCTCCCCCAGCCCCCCATTCTGTTTTCCCCTTCTGCCCCCCCCCCTTTTGCCCCCGGGCCTTAGTCGGAACGTGTAATAACCTCTCTGGCCTAGAGACTGGGCTCGGCTTTAAAAGAAGTACAAAGCCAATAAACATCCCAGCGGCCGGTACCACACCCTGGCTGTGAATTAGGGATCCCGGGGAGCAGATTGCTGATGCGATTTAGTGGAAATAAGCCATTAATGCCGCCTGGCCCAGCGCCACTGTTTAGATGCATAGTATTCCATGTGAATGAACGGGGCCAGGAGCTTCCAGCTTGTCCACGAGAGCACAGCTACTGCAGGCAGGGCAGGTCGGTTTGTAGTATCCGTCGGTTTAGACGGTGATTTCTGAGCAGTGTGTTGATTAAATAGGAACGCCGTTTATTAACAATAGCACTCAGTGGTTGAGCAACCTTTCCACAGAGCCCGGTCATCAGCAAGTAACCTACAAAAGTAGTGGAGTGTAAATTATTAATACATTATAAAAAGAAACATCTCTTGGAATAAAGGAAGATGCTCATTGTGTCTCGCCTTCTGAGTCAGCAGTACTAAATCTCCCTCAATTAAAAGTGAGGCCTTTCAAGGATGGTTCTCCCTGGGTCTGCACTCCTATACTTTCTTGTATCTGTATCATAGACATTGTTAAGACAGAGTGAGTTCTAAGCTTTGCTACACTTGTTTTGAAAACATGTCTTTTTACCGAGGCAAGCCTCAACACGGTTTAAAAGTGCTGGGTTTGAATGAGCATGTGGAATACATTACTGTAACAACTTTTGCTTTCTTGACACTTTAAAGAGAGAAGAGATCAAGGTAATGAATATTTTTATTTTTAATGCTTTTAACATAGCATATGACCGTTGATATTTTCTTTGTCTTTTTTCATGAAGGAGGTATTTAAGCTTCTAAAATGTCATCGGTCAAGCCTCTAGTTTATGCAATTATTCGTTTCTTGCGGGAACAAAGTCAGATGGATGCATATACTTCTGATGAACAAGAAAGTTTGGAAGGTAGGTACCAGTTCTTTGTGTTCGTGTTGTAATTATAAAGAAAGATTAAAATAGCCAAGTTTATGATTTTTAATAACAAAATCAGAATATTTTGTTGAGAGACTTAACTAGATGTGTTGTTTCCATTTTCCGAGACTTGTTTTAACTAATAAAAATAGGACTGTTGCTTGTTTACTGAAAAATATTGTCAGAAGCATATTCTAGGAACATTTTTCTTCAGGAGAACTAGGTTAACATTGTTCCCACGTAAAAGATGAGGAAATGAGATCAGATGATTTAAGTAACAGAACAGTTACTATGTAACAAAGCTGAGGTTTAAATCCCAGTTCATAGTTCAAAGATTGTTCCCCCCTCATTTTTCTAATAAGCAGAGGATCTCATTCAGAAGAACACTTGAAAATACCTTAGTCATTGCTATAGCACTGTGAAAGAAATCTAAGTAATTATACCATGTCAGAGCGCTAGCAAATACTACTTTGGGAAATGAAAGGATTTTGCCCCTGTTTTATGTGAGCTTTCAATCTTGGATTCAGCAGCCTGTGAACGTGATCCGGTTTGGAGAAGCACATGTATTTCCTTGATACCATCTTTGTGCTTCATGTTTATGCATTAGGAAATGTAAATTCCGTATAGCTATAAGAAGATAGAATGATGCAGACCGATGGCCTGGTGAAAGTTCAGTAAGCCTATGCGGTCCGAGGACTTAATTGGTGCAATGAGAACTCATTGGGGGAAAGCTTAATAAACAGCAGTTTGAATTTCCCGTCTCCGAGCTGCTCTTCCTGGAGAGGGGACTTGCCTATTAATTCTGAGTACTTTCTTTGTAGATTTGCTTTAAATAGGTGCAAATCAAAGTTGGGCATTTGTTCTAACTCGTCTGGTGAGATGAAGTCTTTCCAGGTGTCAGTGAGAGGAGCAGGTGAGGCACAGTGGGAGAACTTAGCAATTAGCCCGTTTAATACTAAGGACTTTGTGTCCTCCCTGACGGTCAGACTGTGTGAAGATGAAGGTAGTTTGGCTGTCAGAGGAAAGTCTTAGCTGTGGTTGCTCCGTGGCAACAGAGGAAGGCAATCATGTAACAAGAGATATATTTTTTCTAATCTAAGGCGGTATGGTGTTTTTATGAAGCAGAAAGAGAATCGAGAGTATTTTAAAAACCAAGATGTTGTGCCCTATTTTTAGAATGGCATTCAGCCAAAAATATGTGCCTTCAGCTGTTTGTTATATATGGAGTCAGAAATGGTGCCAATTGTTTGTGACTGACCCCTATTTTTGACTCTGTGAGTCTAATTTAATTGAGCACGAAGTCATGTGGAGGTGTCTGCCCACCTTCTAGACATTTAGAAACGCCTCGGGAAAGGCTCTGCCGTTCTAGCTCCAGATTTACCACTGTCGTGGAGCTGTGCTTCATCAGCTTTGAGGTTTGTTACCAGATTATGTCATCCCCTCCTCCTAATTGTTGTCATCTCTGACATCTGCTTCACTTTTGATTGTTGCCGTTCCAGCACGCTGTCACCCTTGCAAGCTCTGCTCCCATCTTAGCTCTTTCCGCTCCTGAAAAGCTCCAGGACGATCCTTGCAGTTCTCTCCCACTGGGCTCTTGTGTTTTTCTCCTCCCCCTGATCTCAGCCACTTCACTATACACTAGGTCGGCGTTTCTGAACTGAGGGTCATTTTGCAAAGTCTGGACACATTTTTGAGTGTCACGACCTTTGGGGAGGCTGGTATTCCTGGCATCTCGTGGGAAGAAGCCATCGATGATGCTAAACACTCAACACTGCACAAGCCAGGCCTTGATAACAGGGAAAGATCTGATCTAAAGTGTCGGGTGATGAGATGCAGAGCCCTTTCCTAGACTGAATCATTCCCAAATTGTGTTCCAGCAGCAAGCTCTATCTTAAGCATTTTACTTCCTGGCTTCTTCTGTCTGTTTCTTGCACACTCTCTCTAGTATCCATATCTCAACAGTTCCTTGACCAACCCCTCCAATCTGTTGATCCCATACTTTTCCCTACCTCTTTCTTACTTGTTAACCCTGTGGCAGATCATTATGATATTTTCTTGTATTATTTCTCCTGTCCTGAAAAGCCAAACCTTAATTTTTATTTTCTACCTACTCAGTGTCTATATCCATTTGACTATAAATTAATGGACCAAAATGTACAGTTTTGCTGACTGACTATATTAATTCATGACTGCAAACTTTTAGTGCTGCTGGGTGACCAGGGTATTTATTTGTTCCTCACTCATTCATCTACTTATTCATCCTTTCTATTATCCTAGATAGTCATTCTAATAATCTCATTCATCTTCTGAGATGCCAGACTTCCATTTCAGTCTTTACCCTTAGATGCTTCCTTCACCGTAAACAAACAAACAAACAGAATAAAAGAAATGATAAGAAAACAGCATCTACCAACTTACACACTCCTTATATTCACTCACTGACAAGACCCACAGGCTTTGCCTATCTGCCTGCCTATTACCGTAGGTGGTATTCCTTTCTCAGAGAAATCTCTCTACTGGCACATTTTGTCCCATCCCATCTCACCAGCTAGGATTTTACTGTAGATTCTCTACCCTTTTGTCCTACTTCTTCAAATTTTTATCTGCTGGATCATTTTCATCCAATCATAAATGTACCAATAGTTCCCCTTTCATTATGGAAAAAAAAACGCAGAAAAGAAAATTGAATAGGGCTAGAGAGATGACTCAGTGCTTAAGAACGCTTGCTGTACTTAGAGAGGACCTGGGTTAGCTCCCAGCCTATACTGAGCGGTTCACTTCCACCAGTAGCCCTAGTTTCAGGGAAATCTGAAACCCCCTTCTGGTCCCTTGAGGGCATCCTGTTTACAATAGGTACACACACACACACACACACACACACACACACACACACACACGTGAAAATAAGAGAGTTAGCTCAGCAGTTTAGAGCACTGGAGTTCTTCCAGAGGACCTGAGTTCAATCCCGAGCACCCACACAGCGGCTCACAACTGTCTCTAGCTCTTTTGACCTGTGAAGGCACCATGTGCACATATGGTGCACTGTCAAGTGTACATACAGCCTAAACACCCAAACACAGACAATAAAAAATAATATCCTAACATGGATATTCTTGTCATTGTACCCAGTCCCTCTTATCTGATTTGATTGTCTTCCTTTGTAACAAAACCGTTTGAAATTGTTATCTATACTTACTTTCTCCAATTCTTCTATTTCTTAATTTTAAGAATTTTCTCATCCTTTATCTCCATCCATTCTACCTTCATTAAGGGCAATAGTGATTTCTGTGTTTAGTTGAACAGTTCTTATTCTTTATCTGACTTAATTCCTTCCTTCATCTCATCTCACGTACTTTACTTCTCTCATAGTCCCGTGGTTAGCATCTCGGCTCATTTCTTGCTCTTTCTCCCCATGGCTGAGTCCCTCTCCTGACCTGTCGTGTCTATACTTGACCGCTTGGTTTTCTTCCTGTCACTCTCTTCACTCATTTCTCTGGTGAGAGAATTTAACTTATTTGCCTGAGGTGCCCCGAATTTATAGGCTAACAGTTCTTAGAACTGAAACCCCAGTCCAGACCTTTCTTCTAAACCCAGACTTCTATATCCAGCTTCCCACCACATAGCTCCACTTGCAAGTCTAGTAGGCATCTCAAAATTACCATTGCCAAAACTGAACTCACAGTCCTCCCACCCAAAATCTGTTCTCTCCACTGCTTCCCTTTCTCAGAGAGAGCAGCTCCAGCACTCCCTTGCCTTAGCCAAGAACTTGGGCATTGTTCTAGGGGCTTGTTTTTCTCATACTCTACATCTAACTGTTAATAAACCTTCTTGCCTTCAAAAATCAGCCTGTCTTTTTTTTTTTTTTTTTTTTTTTTTTTTTTTTTTTAACCCAAGGTCTCTCATTGTATGCTCTGGCCAGAACTCACTCTATGGCCTAGGTTGGCTTCAAACTCATAGAGATCCACTTGCTTCTGCATCCTGAGTGCTGGGATTAAAGGTGTGTGCCACCACCACACCAGGACTAAAAGTCTATACTTCCAAAATACATCTTGAGTCAGGGGTTAGGGAATATAATCCAGCCATAGAGGGGCCTTATGTGCCTCTCTGTGCACAAGTCCCTAGTACTGCAAAAACCAAACAAACAAAACCATAAAATGAAATTTGAGTTTAACCACCTTTTACCACTTCCATTGGTGTCTCCCCTGGTTGAAACTGCTTACTGCTTGTTCTACTGTGATAACCCCTAACTGGTCTTTCTTCGCCGGTTCTGCCTCCTCGGATCATCCAAATTCGTCCTCTCTTAAGACTGTGGCAGATTCTGTTGCTCTCTATGCAGAATCTTGCCAGGACTCCTATTGTTTCTTCGTCATTGTATAAAGGATCTATATAATTTGGACATATTGTTCAACTACCATTTCTCATTTGGTTTCAGCCAAATTAACTTCCTTACTCAGGAGGCCCCAGATCCTTGTGCCTACAGGCTTTTGCTCTGGCTGTTTCCTTGGCCTGGAATAGCCTCCCATCATCTGTACCTGCTGTAGTGATAACACTTCCATCTCCTCCAAGTCTGCCAGATTTGTTTTTCAAGGAGGCCTGCCCTGAACTCTAAGTTAAATCTACAGTCTGCATCCGGCTCAGCTCCCGCTTCCCCCCTTCACCCCCTCACCCCGTCCTCCTTATTCTTGTTTCTTATTTCTAGTCCTCTTCTCCAAGAGATTAAGGTTCTATTCTGTTTGATTCACTGGGATAGCAAGCTTCTAGAAAGGGGCCTGGCATGTGATAGGTGCTCCATATGCATTGGTTGGATTGAATCCCATAATCCTGGGCTTGGACTTCTCTGGTCTTTATCTTGGTTTCTAAGTCTATTGGGCAAAATACATCAACCCCTTCCCATCGAATGTTCCTGAAGAGAATCTATACCTGTCTGTTTAGCTCTGAAGTTCCATGGCCTGATTTGTGGTTAATGGCTTGTTTTTGTCCTCTTGATCTATTTCTGTGTTTGTGAGCTTATGCTTAGGTTTTGCTGTTTTAGTTTTGGTAACTGGATGATGGTCAGAAGAAACACTGTCTGCCCTAGATCTGATAATTTTAAATTTCCTTGGAAATTAAAATATGATTTTTACTGCAGACAAGGAAACCAACAGATTACAATTGTTGACCATTGGAATTGTTGACTTGCCAGACTCTGTTAAAGTCAGAGAGGAATAAGATAGGCCTTGTCTTCAAGGAGATGGTCTAACATGAGATACCTGCATGCCAGGGCATATGACATAGAGCAATCTCTCCGGTAACGGAACCCTACAAAGCAGACGGCACAGTAAAGAATGCCATTCTGATCCAGGATGGAGGCTGCAAGAGTAAACAAATACATAGGCATACATGTTTATTATTGTAACTATGTGTCATGGCACCGAGAACAAATTTACTTGCAATCCAATATTTTAAATGCATCTTCATCTGCTTGGGAGAAATAGCAAAGGAGAATGCCACATTCTTGTAGTTCTAGCTACTGAGGAGGTGAAGGTATCAAAACACAGAAAGGAAAAGGCGATAGTCTAGGTAAATAGAGTATTTTCTCCCCAAGAGATATTTTGCTTTGTATTGCTTAGAACTAGGTGCTTTCTTCAGGCCCTCTCTAAGGATAGCTTTTCTGTGACTGCCTAAAGCAATAGTATTTATTTTATGACCAGCTCCTTTCTCAAGACCACAATTAAAATACAAGTAGCTTTTACAAGTCTTTTAACATGTGGATGAATCTATTTAGGAGTGTGGGAAGGACAAGGGTTATTTTGGCCATGTGCTTAGTTAGTTTCTTTCCCAGCTGGAACACAATCAGAGGAAGAACCACTCTTGGCCCCTCAAAGGGTCCTTGCAGAGAGGACAGAATGCTTCTCCTGACTGCCCCTGCCCTGGGCTGCTCAGCTGTGTGTATCCTTTGAGTGGGAACCCACCTGGTTTTCTGCTTCTCTCTCTAGCCCGTCCTCAGCCTTCCTACCAGTCTTTTAGCTTTAAACAGTCATTTTCCTTCACTAAAGCCTTGAAAGCCCTCTGTCTGCCAGTTGCCCCGAGTCCCACTCCGAGTCCCACTCTTTAAAAATGTCATTGAGGCTGCCTTGTGATCTGTTAAGTCTCTGATTCTTACATAATCTCCCTTCGTGTCTTTGCATCAGTCTGTACCTTGTACCCTTGCTGTACCAACCAGTTATTTTGTCCTCCACCAAAAATAGATGAGGCAGCTGTCATCATTTCGCAGGCTATGTATTTTGCTTTATAATATGGACAGTGATTTGTTTGTCCTGTTATGTTTATTGCTGTTCTTCTAGCACCTTGGAGCAGAACTTTACACATAAGTAGGCACGTAACAAATTTACTTACATGCATGAATATTTTAAAACAGACCTATTTTTATGTTACTATGCCAGGATTAATATTTAGTCCCTGCTTTGGGCCAGGTATTACGTTTCTTTTACTAATTTTCATCAAGTTGAAAATCTTGTTTTTCATATATGGAAGATATATAACACTTTAAGTTTGTTTAATGCACTGGTGGCTAATTAGGTATTAGTGTTGGAATGTAAAGTGTTAGTGATATGCTCTTCTTTCTGCTAGCCTTCAGCAAGAATATGATTTACTATGTATGTTCAGAAATTATATTCTAGCTAACACTTACTGTTTAGTGAGAAATAAGAGACCACTGATAGCTCGTCTATAAATAGAAATCTCTATGCAGCTGGACCAATTAGTTCTCCTCCTGTTCTTTGGCCGTAAACACTGATTTACCATAGATTACATTCCTGTAAGGAAAAACAGAAGGTTCCTTTTTAAAGTTGCTAATCCCCCTGCCCTTATTTTATTTCAAGTTGCAATTCAGTGCTTGGAGACGGTGTTTAAGATCAGTCCAGAAGACACACATCTAGCAGTTTCACGGCCTTTGACAGAGATGTTCACAAACTCCCTCTGTAAGGTATGTTGGCATTTTTTTTTTCCTTCTCAATAGTATTTGTTGCAAGTATGATCCAGTTTTATCTTGGCCTATTTTTTTTTTTCTTTTTGGTTTTTTTTGAGATGGGGTTTCTCCATGTAGTCCTGACTGTCCCCGACTACCCTGGAACTCGTTCTGTAGACCAGACTGGCCTCAAACTCTGAGGTCCGCCTGCCTCTGCCTCCCAAGTGCTGGTATTAAAAGCATGCACCACCATCGCCCAGTTTATCATGGGCTTTTAAGCGTTGAGGGGATATGTCTACCAATAATCAGCTTCTTCCTGGCTATTATCTAGGAACTAAAATGTACCTCGCTTATCATACTTTAGATGTGCATGTTAGTCGCTATCCTCACAGTCTCGCCTTGCCTACCTACAAGTCTTTCATAGTTTATTTTTAAATCTCCAAGGTCTGTGGTGCTGGAGAGGTTGCTGAGCAGTTACGAACATATCCTGCTAGTGCAGGAGACCGGGGTTATGTTCCCAGCACCCAAAGTGCTGAACTTGAGATTTGCAGGATGCAGTGTTTGGGAGTGATGCCGGCGCAGGACGTGTTAACTTCAGCTTTGAGTGGATGGTGCTGATGGTACATGTGGCTGCGTTCCCCCACACTCTGTTTCTAGAACTAGAGAATTTGGTAGTTTTAGACTTAGAAGAGAATGATGCAGGTACGGGCTAACTTGCCACACAGATGAACTCATATGGCAGGATGAGAGGTGTTGCCTATCTCTGCTCTTCCTTTTTGTCTTCACTTTGATTCATTAAGATGAACTGTTTGTCCTCTCCATGGTGTCCAAGCTTGTGGCCTGCTGAGACACCCTGCTTCAGTTGCCAAATAAAACCATGACTGAAGCAGATCTTTATGCTCAGCTTCCCAAGGGCTGTGCCTCAGACAGCACTTGAAATTTGCTTGTTCTCGAGCTAGTGTCTCCACTGACTTAGTTCTGAAGTTCCACCACGGATTACCATGGTTACTGTCTCCCAGGAACATCCAGTTGACTTTTATACTCCCCTGGATAAAGCACTTCAGCTGGAACTCTCTTGTTGCCCCTAATTGAGAGATTGGTTGTATTCTCTTTAAACGGAATTGGTTGAGATTGACTTCCTGTGACATCTTCAGGATATTATTTGTGGTAGCATCATCCTTTAGTACCCAGGTCTACCCTTGGGACTTCATGCTCTACTCCTGTGCTTCTACTCAGCATAGGAAGTCTAAAGTGTGTCCAGAGCAGCTTTGACATCATAATGGTCAGCACTGACATCACTGTGATGAAAGAGTTTGTCTCATCAAATGTGGTTGAATGTGGTATTAGTCACTCACTTTTACAATTTTGCTTTTTTCTTCCTGTCCCCTAGTTAAGTTTATATATATACAAAATGGACTTGTTCCCTTTATTTAAAGTATCTAACAGTTGCCAACACATTTAATTTTCAGTGTAAAACTGTGATTTCATTTTTAAAAGTTAAGGAGTTGGAAAAGAAAATAAATTATAATCAATTTTAATTGTGCATTTTTTTCTGACCCAAATGATTCATTTTTAAATTAATAAACCACATGGGTTTGTTGGGTGTTGTAAAATGGAAGGCTAGAAGCAGATTCTGTAGAGCAATAGGCATGGTGTCTTGGAATTGGTTAAGCAGTGATTACTCTTGAATGCTCAACTTTGCTTCTGCATCTTTTTATCTATCTATCTGTCTGTCTATCTATCTATCTATCTGCATCTATCTATCTATCTATCTATCTATCTATCTATCTATCTATCTATCTATCTATCATCTCCATCTATCTATATCTATCATCTATCTCCATCTATCTATCTATCTATCTATCTATCTATCTATCTATCTGCATCTATCTATCTATCTCTCTATATCTCTCTCTATATATATCTCCATCTATCTATATCTATCTCCATCTATTTATCTATATCTATCTATCTATCTATCTATCTATCTATCTCTATCTATCTCTCTCTCTATCTATATCTCCATCAGTCTATATCTCCATCTATCTATATCTATCATCTATCTATCTATGTATCTATATCTATCTATCTATGTATTTATCCTTTTTGGTTTTTTTATTTGTTTGTTTTGTTTTTCAAAACAGGGTTTCTCTGCATAACAGCCCTAGCTGTTTGGAACTAGCTCTTGTAGGCCAGGTTGGCCTCGAACTCAGGGATCTGCCTATCTCTGCCTCCCAAGTGCTGGGGTTAAAAGTGTGCGCCACCACCACCCAGCTCTGTGTCTTTTTAATTTAATATTTTATGTTTTATAGGGTTTTTGTTTGTTTGGTGTTTTTAAGTTTTATCTATTTGTGTATCTTTTTAGGTATGAGTGCTCTGTCTGCATGTGTGTCTGGATGTCAAAGGGCCTCGGATCTCATTACAGATGGTTGTGAGTCACCATGTAGTTGCTCAGGACCTCTGGAAGAGCAGCTGTGCTCTTAACCTCTGAGCCATCTCTCCAGTCCTGTTTGATGTTTTTTGGTGTTGTTGTTGGTTTTTGTTGTTTGTTTGTTTTTTTTTTTCTGTGTAGCCCTGGCTGTCCTGGAACTCACTCTGTAGACCTGGTTGGCCTCAAACTTAGAGATCTGCCTGCCTCTGCCTGCCGAGTACTCAGATCAAAAGCATGCGCCACCACTTCCCTTTTCTTTTCTTTTTTTAAAAAGTTGAAAGTCAAATTCTTTGTCAGTGATTTTGTACTTGTGCGTATTTATCTCTAATTAGCAAAGTATATTTCCATGTTCACTTTATCACTTTTCTTGAAACTTTAGTCCAGACAAAGGGTTACCTTGTATTTTAAATGTAGTTTGTTGGCATAAGAGCTACAAATTATTTTTTCAATATTGTAGACTTATTTTTAACTTTAGAGTGAAGTTAAAAATGATGTAATTTTTAAAATGTCTTCCATAAATGCGAAAATACAAAAGTTTGCATTGTCATAGTAGGCCTGAATGTTCTGTTTGCTTTCAGAAACCTTTGATTTGAAATTTATGCCCGAGAGGTTTGAGGAGGCGCTGGTGCAGAATTTCATCTTGTTGCCCATCTTACCTATTATTCACTGCTTGACTGTTGTTTAAAGCACTGGACAAACCAGAGAGTGAAATGATTATTTCCAAATATTAATACTGTTAACTTTTGGCATATACCTTCCCAGTCTTAGTGTGTGAATGTGTGTGCGCGCACATTTTTTAAAATGTCTTTAAATAATCACATTATAGATGCCCTTTTATTGATAAACAGTAGTTAAGATACATGTCTTAGGATAAAAGCACTCTATTCCAGAAATATCTACTTCTTTTTTCCTTTCTTTTTTAGTTTATTTATTATTATTTTTTTAATTTTTCCATTCAAAAATTTCCACTTCCTCCCCTCCTCCCATTTCCCTCCCGCTCCCCCATTCCCCCTCTTCCTTTCCCCTCCAGTCTTAACAGAGGGCAGGGTACCCTGCCCTGTGGGAAGTACAAGGTCCTCCCCCTCTATCTAGACTTAGGAAGGTGTGCATCCAAATAGACTAGGGTCCCAAAAAGCCAGTACATGCAGTAGAAACAAGTCCCAGTGCCATTGTCCTTGGCTTCTCAGTCAGCCCCCATTGTCAGCCACATTCAGAGAGTCCAGTTTGATCACATGCTTGTTCAGTCCCAATCCACCTGGATTTGGTGAACTCCCGGGTCCTGAATAGAACAGAGAATCCTCAACAGAAGTTCAAATGGCCAAAAGACACTTAAAGTCATGTACAACTTCCTTAGCGATCAGGGAAATGAAAATCGAAGTTTCTACTTCTATTCTTATTCTTTGTATATCAATTCCACAATTTGTTCGTGAAATGGAATTTCTGGCTATGGGAAAAGCATTTGGTGGAGTGGGGGGCAATGAAAGCTGGACCTGGAATTCTAACGTAAAGGCAGGAGGATCACAGGTTTGATGCTCATCTGGGCTATCAAGTGGGCTCAGGGATGGCCTAGGCATCTTACTGTGAAGGACCCTACCTCAAAGTAAAATGAAAGGGGCAAAACCAGCGTGCCGGCAGTGTAGCCCAGTGGTCATGCCCGTGTCTGGCATTGGTCGGATGACTTTTTGTGTAGTGAAAAAGAAGCACATTTTGATTTCGTTTCAGAATGACATCGTGCCCCTTTCAAACTCGGTGCCTGAAGATGTGGGGAAGGCCGATCAGTTAAAGGATGAAGGTAAATACTGCCCGCAGACGTACTTTCTGCCACTCTGGAGACAGCAGCTCTGAGGGGATAGCGTTGTGGTTTGCTCTGTAAGGATGGCACTGTCGTAAGCCCTGTGGCATTTGTGGAGCAGATGTGAATGTGATGGGTAAGAGGCCTGGTGACAAAGAACGCCTTGTCAACACCAAGGCAACCAAGACGAGCCAATCTCTTGTAAGCTTTGCCCAACAAGTACCTTATGGGCTATTTACCTCGAACTGCGTTTGCTATTTGACTCAAGTTCTTCTTTAATTTTAATCAAAAAGAGGTAATTAATTTTATGGGTAATTTTAACTTTCATATAATTAATGTTTTAAAAAAGATTTCTGAAAATTCTTCATGCTTGCATATGGCATTTGTTTTGTTTAGTAATTAGCATATTTGGTTCCATCCTTGTTCTTCAATGTTTTTGTCATTTTAGGATTACATTATAAAATTCTGTTCTTTGGACAAGTGGATTAGTCTCTGTTTAATTTTTGTCTCCTCTAAAAATGGCATTATCAGAAGGCCATGAAATCTTAAAGTACTATGACCTCATAATTTACACGTAAAATAAAAGCAACACCCAACACTCATTGCCACTTGAATTGTATTTCCCAATGCTTTTATATTTCAACAATCCAGATACAAATACATCTTTGATGCAATACTTTTTAAATGGAGCCGCTTCGTTTTCCTCCCACTCGGGTTTTGCCCTGTGCGAACATGGCAGTTATGCGGTGCAGCCCCTACCATCATTTTATTGTGGCAGCCGGTTTAGCTCTGGTGTTAGTGTTCAGTACATAGCAAACTGAAATGTTATTTTTGTCCCTCATGCGCTTGCTCTGTGCAGCAGTCTTGGGAAATGGTAATCCCCGTGGAGGTTTTTGTTTGGTTTTGTTGGATGTAAAGAGTGTTAGGAAGATGTGGCTAGAGGGAGGCCCGGTAGCCTGAGACTCCAGCATAGCGGATGGAGAGGCTGGCTTCACCTTTAACAAAAGCTTTCTGTTCTTTGTTTTCCCTGAGAAAGGTCATCTATCAGACAAGCGAGAGGCCAAGGCAAAGTGAGAGCTGTTCTGTCTAGATTCTGTGACTTGTGTGAGAACGAATGGTCATGGGAAGTTGCCAAGCATAGGATCATTCTAGACTGGCAGTGTCCCCTCCTAGAGCCTGGCTTTCAGATGTTTCGTGTGCTCTGGAAGAGCAGAAGGAAGCAGGAAGGGCCTGCGGCTGCCACCTCCTGATGGGGCTGTGAGAGTGAAGGAGACTGTTTGTAGAACATCACACAACTATGAAGTGCAGGACCAGTGCTTTATTGTTCTGTCTGTCTGCAGATTTCTTTGAATCCTGAATTTGCATGTCGACTCTCTTACAGATGGAAGCTTTCTAATCTTTAACTTACGTTACAGTGCTTGCATATATTTGTAATATCTATATACACGTTATAGTACCTACACATTAACCCAGCAAGGTTTTAATGCTGATGATGGCAAAATGCTACCCCAAGGCACAGAGGTCCAACAGCAACAGCAAAAGTCTCAACCAAGAGGAAGAAAGTCTTTGACAAGGAAATCAATTTTAATTCTCTGGGCCAGTGTGGTTAACTGTTTCTTAACCATAAAATTTTTGTTACCCTCTGAGATTTCTTAAAATGTTCTTGGCAGGCAGTAGTGGTGCACACCTTTAATCCCAGCACTCAGGAGGCAGAGACAGGCGGATCTCTGTGAATTCGAGGCCAGCCTGGTCTATAGAGCAAGTTTCAGGACAGCCAGGGCTACAAAGAGAAACTCTGTCTAAAAACAAACCAAAACAAAACAGAACAAAAAGTTCTTTATATTAATAAGTTTTGTAGAAAACTGCCTTAAATTAGTTTTATCAAAAACAAATTCCTTGAGCTATTCATTGTATGAGTTGCTCCTTCACTCTGTTTATAACATTCAAAGATTTTACAGCCAAATCAATTATTAACCGTTTTACCCATTAGCAGTTACTCAGGTACAGCAACTTTTGCTTACAGCTGAAGCTTAACCATTTGCCTTTCCTTAGCTCTCTCAGCTCCTGCTGTCTGCAGGCTTAGCTAACCCCACTTTCCTGTTAAAAGCAGCTAATGAAGAGAACACGATCATGGGCAGAAAACTGGGCCATAGAGGCTCTGAGACATCAGTCCTTCATCCCCAGCTGTCGTGTTCTCAGTTTTAACCAGTGGTTCTTACCAACACTCTGGATACTGCACCCCTTCATGTGGTGCAGAAAGATAGTCACAGGAGATGCCGTCTTTCACCAGTTAAATTACTGCCAACTGTATGTGCAATTGCTCGTCCCCAAACATCAGTACTCAGTAGGCTAGCGTGGCGTTTGAAGTCCTCTCTAGAAATTAATCCCCTCCAATCTCTTTAAAATGATTTTATCCCCTTTAAAAAGGATATTATCCTCTAAGGACATATTCGCACAGTTGGTTTCACCAGCTTACTCTCAGCAGCCTTCCAAGCATGGCTGCCCAGAGGTGTGTGCATGTGTGTTGAAGGGAAGAGGGGAAGGTCGGGTCCAGCTAGAGATGGTGTCTAGGGAGAAAGGAATGCAGCCAGCTCTAAAGAGGAGCAGAATGAAGAAGGAGAGAATACATAGCCATGACTTAGTCGTGGTGGTTGCCTTTCCTCCCACCCCCTGGTTTTTGGAAGTTATGCAAGCATTCATCTCCATGACTTCACGTTGTCTGAATGATCCAAACACCTTGACACCACGAACAGTTAGCCCTGTGGTATGAGATAAAATTGACCCCAGTGTGAGTGAAAACCACCGTGTGTTTCCTTCATGCTGCTGTAGTGTCTATGGTTGAAACGTATCTGTCAGACCACGCTTTTTGACACTTTGTGCTTACCGTACCTCTCGCTGATCTGATTGCAGGCAATAACCACATGAAAGAGGAAAATTACACTGCCGCTGTGGATTGTTACACACAGGCGATAGAACTGGATCCCAATAATGCGGTTTATTACTGCAACAGGTAACACTGGGATTCACGGCCCTGAAAGGCAGATGCCACATATGTTTGTTTAGAAAAATTTGAAAGTACAGAAATATAAGCTGAAAGAGAAAATATATAAAGCCATTTAGCTTCATTCAGAGGCCACCAGACTTAATTTTCTTTTAGAATATTTTGTTTTATAGGAATGCAGTCAATTTTAGATTTTACTTTGTTCACTGGACATGCAATAATTATGTCTTTTTTTGAGATGGGGTCTCATGCAGCTCAGATTATCTAGCACTTCCTGTGTAGCTGATGATAGCTTCAAACTCTGGTCCTCCTGCCTCAACTTCCGGAATTCTGGAATAAATCTACCACACCCTGTTTATGTGGTACTGGAAATTGAGCAGGATTTTGTGCACTTTGGGCAAAGACTGTACCAACTGCTCTCCATGTCCTAATGCATCCTAAGTCTTTGAAATTCTTCACAAGCATAATGTAAATCATCATTGTTACCTTTTATTCTCATTTGTATTTCCAGCGCCTATAGCTGGGGCTAGCAAGCCAGCATTTAGTGTCCTATTTGAATGACTGGATAGAATGTATCTTTTATTTAACTTTTTACCTCCTGTGGGCTCTAAGGTTGTTTCTTTTTTTTTTTTTTTTTTCTAGTGTCATTTAGATCAGTGAACATCCGTGTTTCTCATTTTCTTTCTGGACCTTAGATTATTCATAAAAATGCATTTGTTTGTTTTACCAGTTTTAAAAAATTAAAACTAACTGAAAAAGTGTCCTAACTTCTTTTGTTCCCTCCCCTAGGGATATGTCTCTTTTTTCATGTTCTTTATGAAAATTAGGTTCCATAATTTTTAGTTATCACTATTTTAATAATGTTTTCATATAAATTATTGTGTTTTATATTTACTGGATAATCAGGCAGGGCATATTTTAAGATGCTGATTATGTGTGGTTAGGGTTCTTTTAAACTTTCTTATTGTTTTAATTATTATTGTATGTGGATAATAGGTATATGCATGAGAGAGTAAGGGTGCACACATGAATGTTGAGATTAAAGGCCAGCTTCCAGGAGCTTGTTCTCCCCTTCCCATGTGGTTCCTGTGATTGTATTCAGGTTCAGAGGTTGCACAGTTGCTCTTCTGTACCGAGCCATCTCAGTTTTTAATGTTTTAAATTTTTTATTGTGTATGTGTGTATGTGTGTCTTAGTTCAGATTTTTATTGCTATGAAGAGAAACTATGACCACAACAATTCTTGTAAAGAAAACATTTACTTAGGGTGGCTTGCTTACCGTTTCAGAGGTTCAGTCCATTATGATCATGAAGGGGAGCATGGCACATGCAGGCAGATGTGGTGCTGGAGCTGAGAGTGCTATCTCTTGCAGGCAACAGGAAGTTGACTGATAGTCACACTGAGAAAAACTTGAGCAAAAGAGACCTCCAAGCCTGCCCCCACAGTGGTACACTTCCTCCAGCAAGGCCCCATCCCCAGTAGTGCCACTCCCTTTGGGAGCCATTTTCTTTCAAACCATAATAGTGTGTGTCAGTGTGCCTGTGCTTATATGCACATGTACTCATGTGTGGAACTCACAGTTAACTTTGGGTTTCTTCTTCTATTGCCCCCTAGCCTATTCTGAGAGTCTCTCACCAAATCTAAAGCTCACAGATATTGCTACATTGGTTGGCCAGCTCACCCGAGACTTGCCTGTCGCTACCACTCAGTGTTGAGTTTGTAGGTGTTTTCTGCCACACCTGGGTTATTCATTGGTGCTAGGATCTGGGAAAGAGGGAGACTGCAACTTTTATTGCAGATTCGTCGTTGGCACATGCTCCAAATGATGACTTCTTGTAAATGCCCACTTTGCCTTTGGATTGTACATTTAAAGGATTTTTCTGACTTTAATTTTTAACACTATACACATCTGCTAAAACAAAAATAAAATAACAAACAAACAAAAAAAAAACAGGACATCATTATTCAGGATGTGCTGATCTCTGTGAGCTGGAGTCCATCCTGGTCTACATAATGAATTCCAGGTCAGCCCAGATATATATAGTGAGACCCTGTCTCAAAAAACGAAACCAAACTAAAAAGTACCAAAATTATTTTAGGGAGATATAGGTGAAGAATTATTGCTTATGTCATTTCTTTAGTAGTTTTGCTTTTAAAATTTATATATTTATATGTTTTATGTATGTTAACACCCTGCTCTCTTGCATACCAGAAGAGAGCATCAGATCACACTACAGGTGGTTGTGAGCCACCATGTGGGTGCTGGGAATTGAACTCAGGACTTTGGAAGAGCAGCCAGTGCTGTTAACCTCTGTGCCATTTCTCCAACCCTCAGTTTTGCTTTTAATGCTTTAGAGAAGGCTAGCATTGTTTGCACAAAAGATTGATGAGCCTCTCCGCCAAGTAGTAATGAAGTCACTTTTGAGTACATACTTTGAGCATGCTTTTGTACACTCCTGTTATCCCAGCACTCAGGAAGGTTGAGACAGAAATATCATAAGTTTGAATCCAGCCTGGGCTTCACAGTGTAACCCTGTGTCAAAAAAAGAAAAGGAGGAGGAAAGGAAGACATTCTGTTGCATGAACTTCTGCTTTTGTTTTTAATTTATAGTTATTTGTGGAAGAGTTGGATCCATAAAGAACTCAATGAGCCATACTGGGAAGCTCCATTTTATTTCTTTACATACACATGAAAAACCAAAAAAAAATCTAATCATTCTAAGTCTATCTCAGAAAAACGAAAACCCAAAAGTAAGTTGAGGAAGAGGAATTCTCCCAAGCTAGGTTTTGATATTTGAATCACAGTCTTTGTTACCAGATAAATACACATAATATTTTAATTTAATCCAGTAGATGAAACCTTGAAAACAAATTTCAGAGTAGCATGAGATATTATGACAAGATACAAATATTGCTGTAAAATTGCTTGATTATAGAGTACGGTGAGCCACATACTTGTTATGAAAAATGTGAGCCTAAGTAAATAATTAATTTTTCGTGAGATTAGAATTCACTAATATTCGTATGTCTGCTGTAACTAGGTTAAAGATTTTTGGAAATATCTATTCTTCTTTTTAATTACTATTAAACTGAAATTAATGAATACACTTCTCTTTTGAATTTAAATAGGCTCTTTCCCCTGAGGAGTTCAGTCGTAGGACATGCTGTTGAATATTAAACAATTAGAAAGGTTTATTTGCCTACTTAACACAAGTGCTGGATAAAAGCTTCAGGGTCATTTGGAGGATTTTTGGGTTACAGCCTGCTGTAACCTTGCCACCTTACCGCTGCCATTTTTCTTAGCCACCTGGCTGTATAGAATTCTCCATACAGACTCCCAGGTAGGAACCTTGTTCTCCATATCCTGTTTCACAGTTTACTGCTAGTTCAAATGCTCCCCGCCCACCGAGTGCACTGGGATGAACTACACTTTACCTAGTGGAGAAGTACGACCCTGACGTTTACCTTCTGGTTTGGCTTTGAAGGATACTGTTGATTGTTAGGCTCACTTCAGATCCAGAGAAGACCCAAGTCCTTCTTTTTTTGGTGGGCAGCCTAGCCTTCAATGGTTGAGTCATCTCTCCAGCCTATGAGTCCTTTGAAAGCCTTTTTTTTTTTCTTTTTTCCCCCTTGAGCATCTATCACTTATCGCAAATGTAACACCTATATAGGTTTAGCATGCAGGATGCAGATTTTTGGACCTCAGAGAGCAGGGATCGGGTGTATCTCATATGAACTGCAGCAGCAGTGTTCCTCCCAGGAACTCACACAGGTTTCCCTGATAAACAGAGAGCTCCTGAAGAAATGTAAGACATTCCCAGTAATACGGAAGCAAATAGATTGTCATGTCAACACCGGTGCCCATAAAACAAAAGGGATTGCATGTGGGCGCTCTACAGTTTGCCTTTTGTTTCTGAAAACACGTGGTGTTCGCATTTCTTCTGTGCTGTGTCAGTGCTGGGTCTGTTACTCTTCCTCTCGTAGGCTCTTGCTGCCGGGCTAGAGGGTTGAACCACAGAAGGCAGTAAATGGGAAAAAAGATACCAGACGGAGAAAGGGAACTTATAAGGAAATGAACTTGGGTGAGGTGGGAGGGGTTGGAGTTTGGAAAGACAGGAAAATGGAAGACATTTCAGGCTGGAGAGCAGAATGGGGGCTGGGGGCGAAGGCCCAGTAGGGAAAATGCCTACTACGCAACCTTGAGGGCGTGTGTTTGGTCACCAGAACCCACATTTTTGAAAACTCCAGGTGTGGTGGTGCTTCTTTATAACCTCAGTGCTGGAACCAGAGCTAGGCAGAACCCAGGGGCTTGCTTGACAAGTCAGCACAGGCTGCTTGGTAAGCTCCAGACCAGTTGTCCTCTGAGCTCCAGGCGTGTCCTGTGGCATGTGTGTGCCCACAAACATAGACACACACTTGCACACAACGCACACACACTCACACAATAGAAAAGATCAAACCGCAGTCACTTTCTTTTGTCCTGACATTCTCTCCTGAGTTGGACCCTCCTGCCTTTGTTCCTTATTGTCAGGATGGGAGGAGGATGGGAGGAGAATCTTCAGTCTTGCTCCTTTTCCCTGTAGGCCTCAAGTTTTAAAACAAGGCTAAAGTAGTGGAATAGGCTGAAGATGTAGCTAAGTGGTAGAGTGCTTGCCTGCCATGTGCAGGGACCTGGATTAGTGCCCAGTACAATGTCTGGCTCCTCACACTTACAGTTTTTTAACTGAGAAAAAAAAGATGGTATGTTAATTTTTTTAATAAATACTAAACTTTTATGAAGGGCCTCAGTTAAGCTGTATGAAGAATGTTTGACAGAAAGGTAGACTTGAAGCCACCTTTTCTGAGAGTCATGGTAACCTATACTTGTAATCCCAGCCTAGAGAGGTTCAGGCCTGAAGAAGGAGAGTTCAAGACCAGCCTGACTATGAAACAAGATGGTGTCTCAAAATGAGAACTGAAAACCAAAGTGCAAACAAAACAACAACACAAAGAAAAAAAACTTTTTTCTTTCCTTTTTTCTTTCTTTCTCTCTCTCTCTCTTTCCTCCTCCTCCTCCTCCTCCTCCTCCTCCTCCTCCTCCTCCTCCTCCTCCTCCTCCTCCTCCTCCTCCTCCTCCTCCTCCTCCTTCTTCTTCTTTTGTTGTTTTGAGACAAGGTCTTTTTATAGCTCAGACTGGCCTTGAACTCACTGTGTGGCTGAAGCTGACCCTGAATTCCTTATCCTCCTACCTCTATCTCCTGAGTCCTGGGATGACAAGTGTGTATTGCCGCCATTTTTTGCCTTTCTCTTCCCCCTTCCCCACTGGCCTCTGGCACTGTTGACAGCAAGAATAGCATGTCACTATTGCTAGCCATCATTCTTAGAAAGTGTCTGTGTACCTGCAGGTCCTCCAAAGATGCACTAGCTTAGCGGGAGAGCACTTGCCTAACGTGCAAAGATCTGAGTTTGATACTCGGTGTCGGCTGAGTTAGAGAGCTTCCATTAGGAGACGAATGGAACGGTTATACGAGGGTGAGCAGGAGGCATGTGGAAGCTGCAGGTGGAGTGCTTAGTCCACAACCAGAGCCAGGCACATAATTAAGTTTTATCTCTCACCTTGGAACTTCTCAGGAAGTGTCAGTTCTCGAAGAGATTCTGTGTAGTAGGTTTGCAATTATCAGCTCAGCTATTGAGTCGGCAGGATTTCAGGCACTGGTTCGCTGTCTGCACTGGTTGTCTTCAAGCAATATAAGCACTGGGCAGAATACACTAGTAGGTGTGGACTGCACTCCCCAGTGCGTGAGAGTTTCCTATGGTGGTCAGAAATGGAGTTTCTCTGAGGAGGCCTGTCATCCCATCCTTACTGCAATGGAGCAGAGTTTCAGTTATGGATGTATTATAGGTTAGAAGGTCAAATTGGGCAAAAGCAAGAGAATTTTCTTTTCCTCTTTTTCTTTCATGTCATTTCATTTACTTTTTGCCTTTGAGGCAGAGCCTCACCAAGTAACCCTGGAACTTGCTATGTAGATTATGCTGTTCTTGAACTCACAGAAATCGGTCTCACGAGTACTGGGATTAAAAGCATATACCACCATGTCTGGCGAAAGTACATGTCTTTTGTTCTTTCAAAATCTACTTTCTGGATTATGTCGGTCATTAATATGCATATTAGTTGTGAAGCTGATCTCCAAAATGGCTATCAGAGCTAATCCACACTAAATACGATTATTTCTTACAGAAATTTTTTTTCTTTTTTTTTTTCTTACAGAAATTTTGGAAGATCTCTTTTCCCAGTTTCAGTGTCCAGGATTATCAGTGTTACTTTCAGTTGCTTCCCCCAAGGGTTGGTTTTATAGAACACTGTTTGTGGGTAGCCAACATTTGGTCATTTACTTTGGACATTCAATGCGGACAGAATACGATAGTGGTTGTGTAAGTCAGGCTTCTCTAAAGGAACAGAACTGATAGAACGGAAAAAAAAAACCTCTGTGTGTGCGCGCGCGTGTGCGTGTGTGTGTGTGTGTGTGTGTGTGTGTGTGTGTGTGTGTGTGATTGACTAGAGTGGCTTACAGGCTGAAGTCTGAGTAGTCCAACAATGGCTGTCTCCTGACAGGAAATCTAAGAATCTAGTAGTTGTTCCATTTGCAAGACTGGATTTCTTAGCGGTCCCAATCTGGTGCTGGAGTCCCAGGGAAGTCTTAGAGAGTCGCCCATTCTCAGTCTGTGTTGGAATTCCCAAGAAGTGGGTTCTTACACCAGCAAAGGAATGGCTCAGGAACAGGGTAGATGAACTTGCCATCGAGAGTGAGGAAAAAGCAAGTTTCCTTCTTCCCTATCCTTTTGTGTGGGCCACATCTTCTCAAGAGGCCAGTGAGGAGCATGGTGTTTTAGTCATGGCTAGGGAGCTGTCTCAGTGGGTAAAAATGCTGGCTTCACAGGACTGGTGATGTTAGTGCAGGTCTGCCAAACCCAAGCCCCTGACTGAGTTCAGATCCCAGAACCATGTAGTGCCAGCATCTGAGTTCCCAGTATGCCCCTGGGAATGGGAGAGACAGAGGCAGGAGACTCTCGAGAAGCCCAGAGCCAACTATCCTGCTTTATGAAGCTGAGGAGAACCTGTCTCAAGGTGGAAAGTGAGGAGTGACACTTGAAGGTGTCTAACTGCTACACACTGACATACATAGGCACACATGCACACACATGCACGCACACACACACAAGTTTTTTTTTTTTTATCAATTTTGCTGTTTGCATGTGTGTTACTAGAGTCTAGGAAGTCCCAAATGAAATCACTGCTGATTAATTTCAAGGAAGACAGAAGGTTGACTGGGTAGTTAAACAAACAAAAGGTTTGGGCCATTTAGACAGCAAACATGCATGTAAGAGAAGAATAAAGGTAGGAAGGACGAGAGTAGTGCTTCTCAGGTTGTGGGCGAGCTTAGCAAATGGGGGGGGGAGTGGGTAATGATTGTTGAGGACTTATGTTTATAGACTCAAGAACATGAAGGCATCTAAACCAATTTCTGGGTTTGTAATATTTTTTCCCCAAAAGGGCCTCCTGCTTTTACTATTAGAAGGGCTGTCAGGTTTTGGTACAGTGTTTGGAGTCGCAGCAGGACATAGCATGCCCTTGGAGGGTTGTGAGAACCTAAGGTGCAGTCCCCTGCCCTGGCCCTCATGTGGCTCTTTCTTGACTGCTGATACTCCATGTTGGCCTCTGAGGATGAATCTTAGGTCTCCTCCTCCCCATTTCCCATCTGAGCCAACTCTCCCTACTTCACATTATTATCGACAGGTCGTAGTTACTCAGATACTTACCTAGGCAGATGCTGGTTTTCTAGAGTTGGTCTCTTGGGCCTTCTGCTGAGGGAAATTATGAGAACATTTGAGAGTCTGAAAGAATCAAAGTTTAGTCTGTGTCAGTAGTGGATGGACGGGAGAAAGTGTGAATGGGGTGGAGAATTTTTGGTATGCTTTAACTTTCTATTAAAGTGACCAAGGCATCGCAACTGCCCTCTCTTTCTGCCTCTCTGGTGGTTCAGATCCCCCAGTGTTTTCAGTTTGCGTTTTAGGCAAACTGAGAGGCAATAAATATTAGGTGGGTTGTGTGCCCCACACATTTGTCTTCTCTGTAAAGCGAAGGGGAAAAGGGAGCTTACATCTTTTTTTTTCTGATGTCTTAGGCTGTTTTTAAATTGTTGTATAATTAGCTTTACTTAGAAATTTATGAAGAGTGATGTAAAAATTGGGGCAAGAGCTACACAGTTTCATGCCTGAAAAGCTGGACCCGTGCCTTGGGAGCTGCCTGATTCTAATGTTTTTCCCTCTTAGAGCCGCTGCCCAAAGCAAATTAAGTCACTACACGGATGCAATAAAGGACTGTGAGAAAGCAATAGCGATCGACTCAAAATACAGCAAGGCCTATGGAAGGATGGGGTAAGTGCTCAGAGATACCCGAAGTATTTCCACATTGCATCATCCATGCTGTTGTAGAGGCTCGATGCTGAATATCCTAACATTGCCCTCTGTGCAAGAATAAGACAAGTATATGCAACAGAATGGAGAAAGTGACTCCCTTTGAGGATGAGGTCAGCAGAGGCTGTTTCATCACTGACTGGAGAAAGTTGTTGGAGAAACCACAAACCTATATGAAAAGGCTCACTTCATAAGCTTGCACCATGAAAAAGCACCAAAAAGGTTCATAGGTCCCTAGCCATGTATTTTCCCCAGACACCACTATTTAGTGTTTGTTAGTTTTGTGTTTATGGAGACTTTATAGGATTTAATTTCTGCGAGTGAGAACTGGCCATATGTGCCTTTGGATCTCTTAAGTTTTGCCTGAGCTCCAGACTCACATATTCCATTAATTTTTATCTCTGTGTTTGAGTATTTAAAAAATGTTTTAAATTTCTGTGTTTCAAACGTAACTCCTGCTCGCTTCTTAAATCTTTCCCTGGTGTTCATCTTCCCAGTGCTTAGGTCAGAAGCCGAATTGTTTTCCATCCATCTCATCTCCTGGCACTTCTGTTCTGGTCTCATTTTCCTGTGTATCTTGGATTCAGTTTTTGATTGGCTTGTTTATAGGCCTAGCACAAATTGCCACCTCTTACCTAGTCTACTTTAGAAACCTCCCAACTGGTCTTTATGCTTCACTAATGTTTATCCTCTGCAGAGAAGCCAGAGTAAGCAGAGAGAACATTTGCCTAGTATTCAGGTAGCCCTGGATTTGAGCCCCAACACTGTATAAACTGGATTTGGTGCTGCGTGCCTACAATCCCAGCACTTTGGAGGAAGAAGCAAGAGGATCATGAGTTCAAGATCATCCTTGGCTACCTAGCAATATTGAGGCCAGACTGGGCTACGTAAGACCCTGTCTTAGACCTGCCCACCAAACCCTAAAAGCATAACTCAAACATTACAAATCATTCCTTTGCGACTACAGTTTAAAAGTCTGAACTATAAAGGGCCCCATATGAACAACATAGCCAGGAAATCCCTCCACCTTGTTTGTTGTGTTCCATCCTCGTGGCCTTTATTCCGTACTTTAAGCATACCACACCCACATCTTTCTTAGGGCTTCTGTGTTTACCGCTGCATCTGGGTAGACAGTCTTCTCCCGAGTTCCCTATGATTACATGTCTTCAGGGTGTGGCCATTTGTGAGCAAACTCTGCTGTCATTTTCTTTAATAGTACCTATTCTGTATGCATGCTTGTTGTCTGTGCTCCTCAGGTGGAAGGGGAGTTTCTTAAAATTTGGAACTTTTTAAAATATTGTGGAATGCTCAGGATTTAAAATAGTACCTGGTACGTAGCAGGCTTTCAATACTTGTTGATGATTAATTGGAAATGGTGCTGAGGATCCTTCAAGGTTGGCTAATAGGAAACTAATTGGGTTGTAAGAATTTCTTATTTTATCTACATGAGAAGGCTGTGAGGTAATCCAGAAAAGAAAGAATTAGATTAATTTATTTAAAAACAATCCCAGAACAAATGAAATACTCAATACTCTCTCTTTATACATGCTATTACTGCTTAATTCTGATGTAATTTTCAAGCACATTATAGGTAGGGAAAGATAAAGATTGAAATTTAATAATGCATAGACTTGTGCCTGTGATGGTAATTTATTATTTGCATGACGAGAGATCCTTATTTTGTCTGTCTACCGATTAATGTGTTGTTCAGGACTAGTCTTCTGAAACTCAGGCCAGTGGGATGGCTCAGCAGGTAAAGGCTCTGGCTGTGTAAGTCTGACGATCCCAGCTCAATTCCCTAGCCCATGTTAAAGTGGAAGGAAAAGAGCAAGTCAACACAGTCGCCCGCTGGCCTCCATGCTTGTTCCATGGCAGGCCCCTCCCCTTGATAAATAAGTCAGTAGTTTTTAATAGCTGTAGGGAAACAGCAAAAGAAAAAGATGGAAAACTAATATTTATTTTTGTTCAAGATCCTTTGGGAGGGAAGAATGTGGGGTGCTCAGAAGTGCACAGTGTTTAGAGGCAGATGTGTCCCCGCTGAGGCCCGCGGGCTGCACGTGTTCCGGATAGCTGTCGGTGGCAGGGTTGTCGTAGGGTCAGACGGTTTGACACTGCTGGTTTATTAGAGTCCTCAGACATGATGTCACCATTGTGGATTTACATGATCGCAAGACTGCTAGCACAATCTTCGTTTAGCTCAGCCTAGAAATTCATAAAGCAAATTCCTTTATTAACAATACATGTGGGTCTTAAAAAATAGTATGTTTCATTTCTGAGCTTTAGGTCGATGATCCGTGTGAGACACAGTCAAACTGAAAGGAGACCATTCAGGTTTATAGAATCTTGGAGCTGGGAGAATGTTAGTGCCATCTCTCAGAACCATAATATAATGAGGATTCAGTGTAATCGGGGTTAGAATTGAATACTAAAGCATTTGTCATTTCTGCTCTGTTTCCCAAGGCTGGCCCTCACTGCCATGAACAAGTTTGAAGAGGCGGTTACCAGCTACCAGAAGGCACTGGATCTTGATCCTGAAAATGATTCCTATAAGTCAAATCTGAAAATAGCAGAACAGAAGTTAAGAGAGGTGGCCAGTCCTGTAAGTTGTCACTATAAAGTCTGTGGAATAGACCTGTCACTCACAATTGATTGACATCATCATGGCTGGAATGAATCTCAGATATAACTCTTTTATAGACAGGAACTGGCTTGAGCTTTGACATGGCCAGCTTGATAAATAACCCGGCATTCATCACCATGGTGAGTATACTTTCTTTGATCTACTGGCTGCTGTCCACTATATATTTGCAAACCGTTTCTGCCATACTTTTTAAGGAGATGGAATCTTTCAGTAGTTGCTGACACTGACCCAAAGCCCTTGGGCTCAAGTGATTTTCCTGCCTCAGTCTCAAGAAGGCTGGCAGTGCAGGCTCTAAAATGTTTTAGAAGCAAATAGAGGAGTTTTTGGTAAGTGGCAGGTTTATGGCAGAGGCAAGGATAGAGGTTCTTCACCTGTCTGCCTTGCTCGGAGGGAAGCGAGGGTGGATGTTAGAAAGCTCATAGCTTTCCTAAACTGGAATGTAAGTCAATGTTTGTGTGACTCTGTGTACTTTATAAGTCAAAACTCATATTTTTCACTAGATTGGCAATTTTCAAATATATGAAAGGTTAAAAACCATTGTCTTGGGCTGGTGAGATGGCCCTGAAGGTAACTGTTTGCTGCGCAAACTGGTGATCCAAGTTCAGTTCCCACGGTTCCTGTGGTGGAATGAAAGGACTGACTCCTACAAGTTGCCTTTTGATCTCCACGCAAGCGTGGTGGCACAAGTAATGTGCATATATACCAAATGCACACCACACTCTCTAGACAGACAGACAGACAAGACAGACAGACAGACAGACAGACAGACGTAATTTAAAGCCCCAATGTCATATAAAACTGGTCCTAGGAAGATATATCTATCAATTGATATCTGAAGATTTTGATTATAGCAAATACCCAAGCTTGCCCCTCGGTATTGTTGACCTTGTTTTCTGTCCCAAGCATTTATGTTTTTAAAAACAGCTTCCCATGTAGCCCAGGCTGTTCTCAAACTTGGTATGAAGCTGAAGGTGACCTTGAGTTTTTGATCTTTCTGCCTCCTGCATGCTGGGATTACAGTGTGTACTACTAAATTCAGTTTATGCAATGCTGGAAGCTGAACCCAGGTCTTCATGCATCCTAGGCAGCTAAGCAACATCCCTAGATTTGCCCTCTGCTCTTCAAATCAACAAAATAACTTAGGGATCTTTGAAAAACAATCATAATTCAGCCCAGTATTTAGTGGGTTTAGGATGTTACCTGGGTCTATAGTGCCCCATGAATGACTGCACACTTTGCATGAAAACATTCTGCTGCCTGGCATGGAAGTGGATGTCTGTAGTGCCTGCTTTGGAAGCCCGACGAAGGAAGATGGAGAGTTTCAGGTCATCCTTGCCTACACAGGAATCTGAGGCCTGCCTTGGCTACATGGCAAGACCCTGTTTCAATACAAAGCCATACATACTCCATCATTGACTGTACTTCTGGGATAGGAATAGCTCCTATTCATCTTTGTTCAGATAAGTGTGTTTTATAATCATTAAATCCTTAGTTCAATCGAAAGACATAGTCCTCTATCAATTCAGTTGGCCTTCTTACCTATTTGCTGGCAAACACAATGCCCCCTTTTAAATCTTGTGATGTTCTAGAGCCTGGCTTGCTCATTTCCAAATCATAAGCAAGTTATATTCTCAGGTTATGTTACTGTAACATAAAATGAAAATTATTATTATTAAATTATTATTATTATTAAAATTCAGATTAAATTTAATCTCTAAGCTGCTACATTCCAAAACGAGGTGTGACAATACCACGTAGGAGCTTGCAGGGTTAGAAACACATTTTGACTCTTAAAAGGGGGCCAGGGTCGGATTGTGGGTGAACCTCCATAGCAGAGCACTTGGGTAACATTCTCGAAGGCTTTATTCCCAGCACTGCTCTAATACAAAAACACATAAACACAGAAGTAAAGTCAGGGCTGAGAACATAGGTCAGTGTTAGGCATGTTTAGTGTTCAAGAAGCTCTGGGTTCAATCCTCAGTACTGACAAATAAAGGAAGGTAATAGAAATGGATGACAATAATAAAGAAAATTAATAGCAAAGGACCAGGTTGATTGTTGATTAAAATGGAGATTTAAAGATTAGTTGGCTTGCCATTGTTGTTCTTTGATGGAGCACGGAGGCCTTCCTTCATCTCTGGACCACTACAGAGGGCTCTTCTGGTCTCCATAGCATGGTCAGTCACATCCAGCTCCTTGGCGTCATCCTTCTTACAAGTACACAATCTCAGGCTAAGATGGCTCAGCGGTTAAGAGCCCTGACTGGTCTTCCAGAGGTCCCGAGTTCAATTCCAGCACCCACATGGTGGCTCACAACCATCCGTAATGAGATCTGGTGCCCTCTTATGGCCTACAGAGATACATCAGACAAAACACTGGATACATAATAAATAAATAAATCTTCAAAAAAAAAAGTACACAATCTTTGGCCTTGCTATGGTGGCATACACCTTTAACCCCAAATTCAAGGCCAGCCTGAACTACAGAGTGATTTCCAGGACAGCCAGAGCTACATAGAGAAACCATGTTTCAAACAACAACAAACAAAAACAAACAAAAAGCACAAGGTTTTTTTTTTTTTTTTAATAGTTTTAAAGTTTCTCTTTTTCCCTTTTGGTCCGCTGATCTGATCAGTCATGGCAATGCTCTCAATCCAACTTATTTTGGTTTTTCGAGACAGGGTTTCTTGGTGGTTTTGGAGCCTGTCCTGGAACTAGCTCTGTAGACCAGGCTGGTCTCGAACTCAGAGGTCCGCCCGCCTCTGCCTCCCAAGTGCTGGGATTAAAGGCGTGTGCCACCACTGCCCGGCCTCAACTGTGCTTTTTTATTGTCTGCAGTCTCACGCTCCTGAGACCACATTCTACAGAACCTTCTCTCTTGTACCTTCCCATTAACACTAGAACACCCCCCCCCCTAATGTTAGGGTGTGCATCACTGGGTTTTATTCCTGTATCTTTACAAAACCTTTGTAACATCCTTCAGCATTACTGCCATATTTTAACAGGCAATTGTGTTTTCCAATTACAGGCTGCAAGTTTAATGCAGAACCCTCAAGTTCAACAACTGTGAGTATAACAGCTCCTCATGCCTTTGCCTTCTTGTTGCCAGGCTCCTAATCCGAGCAGCTCTGTCTCACAGTTGATAAAAATGCACCGAATTCCTGTTGCTTAGAACTTAAGGTCGACTTAAACACTTGATTCAACCCCTTCTATGGTGCTGATACACTTGTCTGGCTTTTCCATCCTATGAAGAATATACGTTAATCTCCATGTATGTCTCTTATTATCCTAGAATGTCAGGAATGATGACAAATGCCATCGGAGGACCTGCTGCTGGGGTTGGAGGCCTAACGGACCTGTCTAGCCTCATCCAAGCGTGAGTGTTTGCCCTAGCTTGCTTCAGATGGATGAGACACAGTGGTCAAAATCAACTTGGTGAGGGAAAGCTTTATTTCAGCTTGAAGGTTACAGTCCATCATGAAGGGAAGTCAGGGCAGGAACTCAAGGCAGGAAAAACTAATTCCTCCAAGTTGTTCCCTGACTTACACATATGCACCAGAAACACACGTGCTCCTGCCAATAAATAAGTGGATGCTGAAAATGCTTTTGAATGTGATCACTCATGAACATGCATGTTCACTCATGCACATGCATGCGTGTTTGGTCTGATGATGCAATGTTGCCCTTCAGACTCATGGTGTTCTTTCCTGGTACTTTTGTGTGTTGGAGTTTTGTTGTTTGACACAGAGCTTCATGTGACTCAGGGCGGCTGTCAATTTGCCATGAGGATGAGAATGAATTTGAATTCCTCAGCCTCCTGCTTTCCCCTCCCAAGAGCTAGGATTATAGGCATGGACTCATGTGTCCTGCTCCTAATGCTTATTTTTAAAAGAAATAATTTATGTTTACTAAATATTCTGTTTTGAGAGTTGATAAATTCAATGAGGTTTCCTATACTTATCTGAATTTTTATTTAAGAACTAAAATCATAAAATTCAGTTTCAGCACAATAATAAAAATACCATGTTTTTTGATAACTAAAATAAATAAACAAAAGAAAAACTCTAGGACAGGCAAGCTATAAATCTCAGCAGCTGTCTAGAAGAGAAGAATCAGGAAGAGAAGGGAAAATGAGAAAGAAAATCCCCACAAACAACTCCCTTCCCTCTCAAAAAAAAAAAAAAATCCATGTTGTTTGAGTTAAGCCAGCATGGAGGTCAGCCATGGTAGCAACATCATAAAGCAACATGGCAGGTAGGGGGCTTCAGAGAAAAAGTAGGGAAACCCAGAGTACCAGAAAAATTCTGTATAGTTGCTGACCAGCATCCAAATGAAAGAGACAAAAACAAAAGAATAGGAATTTCATCAGGACTCAGGAAAGTGACCAGACCCAAGGAACCTCATGGTGGCTTGTATAAACTGTCTAAACTCTTTTTTTTTTTGATACTAGGTCTTCTATAGACCATGCTACCCTTCTCATTGTGCTGCTGAGGGTGGTTTTGAACTCTTGATCTTGCCCCTCTCTCCCAACTGCCAGAATCATAGGTGTGCACTACCATCCTGTTCCAAAGCTGGGTATGGTTGTTTAAGGAGGTGTGGGGATTGAACCTAGAGCCTTAGGAATGCTAGGAAAGGGTTCTCTTGGGCTAGAGAGGTGGCTCAAAGGTTAAGAGCACTTGCTGCACAATAATGAGAAGTGGAGTTCTGATCTTCACACCTACATAAAGGACCTGGGTATCCCATACACACCTCTAACTTCAGATCCAAAGGCCAGAGACAGGAGGACCACCTGGGGCTTGCTGGTTTCCAGCTTACCCAAGAAAATGCAAGTTCCAGATTCAAGGAAAGGCAGGAAGAAATAGAGGACACCCGGCATCTCTTCTGGCCTAGGCTTGCACATCTGCATATCATGTGACTGTGTGCACATGGGCATGCATGTGTGTGCGTGTGTGCACACAGTTCTGTCATTGAACTACTACATTCCCAGGCCTATGTTAAAACTTTGTCTTTTAAAAATTCACTTTTCAGCTGGGTGGTGGCGCATTCCTTTAATCCCAGCACTCAGGAGACAGAGGCAGGCAGATCTCTGAGTTTGAGGCCAGCCTGGTCTACAGGCTGAGTTCCAGGACAGCCAGGGCTACACAGACAAATCCTGTCTTGTCCCCCTCCCCTGCCAAGAAAAATAAGTTTGTTTTTCAGTGACCTCTAATAGGACCCAGCTTGGGAGCTGTTAGGCCTCTCCAGAAACTAGGAAGCCGTGGTGCTGCTAAGAGCATTGTTTCAGGGGCTGGAGAAATGGCTTAGGGGTTAAGAGCACTGACTGCTTTTCCAGAGGTCCTGAGTTCAATTCTCAGCAACCACATGTTGACTCACAGCCATCTGTAATGAGATCTGGTGCCCTCTTCTGGCCTGCAGCAGACATGGAGGCAGAATGTTGTATATATACATAAGAAATAAATAAATCTTTAAAAAAAAAAGAGCATTGTTTCAGGACATACTGTAAAGGAGCATACCTTTTAGTCCTTTGAGTAATGTGTGGACAAGTAAATTGCATTCAATTCAGGCACTCCTATTTTAGCTTAGGCATTTTGTTTCATATTGTGATCTGCACCAAAAGGCTGACAAGCAAAGGGTGTTTTGCTTTCTAAAAAGAACCCTGTCCTGGCTGGAGAGATGACTCAGTTGGTAAAGAGCTTGCCTTGCTACCATGAAGACGTGAGTTCCTTCCACTGAACACGATTCAAAAAATCAAACCAAACAAACTGGAAGTGATGACACATCTTGTAATTCCCACGCTGGGGAAGTAGGATCAGGAGGATGAGTCCCTGGGGCTTGCTGGCCTGCTAGCTGGCCTGACTGACATTGCAGCTTTCTGGCCAGTAATTAAACCCTGTCTCAGAGCAAACAGAAGAGGTAGATTATACCTGAGGACCAATGTTGACACTTGGTTTTCGAGCTCCACGTGTGCACCTGCCCTCTGTGCAACAGTACACACATGAAATGTACACACAGACACACACACACACATACACACACCGTGTGAACTCTCTGTCCCGTAGTAATGCTATCTGGAACATAGCATTATAGGAACAACGTTATGTTTCTAAAACTTGTGTTTATAGAATAACTTGTGTTCTATTCCCTTGGGTAGTCCCCAGTGTCTGCAGTACATTTTGCACGAGTACTCTGTGACTAGAGGGTCCCCACCCAATTTATTCTGCCTTTTTCCTGCAGCGGACAGCAGTTTGCTCAGCAGATCCAACAACAGAATCCGGAACTGATAGAGCAGCTGAGGAATCACATCCGCAGCAGGACGTTCAGCAGCAGCACGGAAGAACAGTCCTGACTTGATCGGGACCCTCACCCCCAGTACAGATAGTTTGTGGTTCTGACATGTCCATCTGTAGATAATAGCCCAAAACCAAGTAACCGAAACCACCCTACACAATGTCTGGAAATAATGGAGGAAAGTCTCTTGTGTAAAACTGAGAGAGTCCATCTGTTTAGAGTATAGTTTATCACCAACAGACTTGAACATAACACAAACTCCTTCGGAAACAAACCATCAGTAGCCTTGTTAAGAGCTAATACAGCCTTGGGACAAGGGCCCATCCATTTTAAAACTTTTATCATCCTGTTTGTATATCAGACTTAGTACAGAGTATATTTATTGAACAGTAGGGCTATTTATTGGAAAGTTCTTTAGCTACAGGTTTCCCTAGGCCATGGTTTTGAGAGAGGCGATGACTAATAGGAGAGACTTCTCATGCTGGTTTGGAAGAAATGTGTTTGGTAGCATATCAGGGGAGGAGCTTTGGCATGTGCCACCATCAGTAACACATGTCTGTTGTGGGTACCAGTACTGTCTGTAGGGTGGCTTGTACTGGGGACAGGGAATCTTTAGTTTGATACAGGCGATGTTTTGGAGATACTGTGAATGTACAGAATGCACCGGAAGGATGCTCAGGTTTTCTGCCTCGATTTTAACTAATCCTGTCTGTAGTTTAGGATTGGTAGCATTCGAATGGTCAGTTAAGTACATAATGAAGCACACTTAGAGATCCTTAACGGCGCTGGTCAGGCCAGTGAACACAACTGCTCTGTTCATTGTCCTAGTCTAATTGTCACAGTCTCATTGGTGGGAAACTTACCTAGGGCAGTGTCTAGTTACACTTTACAAAGCCACTGACCGGGCCCCAAATTATGGGATTTCTAAGTGGAATTTAATTATGTGCCCATCCGCAATGATTTTATTTTTTTACTTTACCATTATTTGATGGGTAACAAAGGCATCTATTGCTAACATTGCTCATCTGTGGAATCCTTGGCTGTAGTTTGGCTCAGCATGACAGTCTTATGCTTCACTTTAATGTATTACAATTTAAACACAACAGGAGACTTCCAATATCTTATCATATTTATGCGTCTGGCATGTGGTTAGTAGAAAGAAATGGCGTGAGATACTAATGGCATGACTCTAGGTGGATGAGAAAATTCTAGTTTCAAATGGAATGTGCCCATTAACCAAAACATTGGTTAAATGGGGGCTGTTATGTAATGATTTTACAGGCGTGACGAGGGAAGAGTGAAAGAACGTAATTTAAGATGAGACTAGCCTCACAGCCTTCCTGAAGCTCTTCTCAGTCTGTACATTTAGGAGCTCGAAGTTTCAAAACCTTTTTTTTTTTTTTTTTGCCGGGCAGTGGTAGCACATGCCTTTAATCCCAGCACTCAGGAGGTTGAGGCAGGTGGATCTCTGTGAGTTCGAGGCCAGACTGGTTAGCAGAGCACGTTCTAGGACTGGCTCCATAGCTACTGAGGAACTGAGAGACCTTGTCTTGAAAAAAAAAAAAAAAAAACCAAACAAACCAAAAATCAAAGCCTTTTTCTTTTTCGCCTTTTGTGAGACAGTGGTTTTGTAATTTTACTGTACATCAGGTGGGGGAAATTAATTAATTCAAAATTCTGGTGTAGCATCATATCATCAAATAAGATCACCATTTTAAACAGTGCTCCACGCAGTCAGGCCTCAACTTTAGAACAAATAAAGTTGTGTAAGGTTGGGGGGTCTCTCCTCAAGTAGCCAGCAGGCACCTGGGCAGTCTCACATGGGACAGCCAGGAAACAGTTCTGGTAGAGAACGGGAGAACCTCTGACAGAGAACTGGGTTGTGTCAGCTGTCACACAGTGTTCTTGAGTGTTCTTCACACAGAGTGAAGTACTTCCTGCTTACATAAAGGTTAGGACTGGAGTCAAAGAAAATTCAAAGTTGACAACTAAAAGCCCAGTCCTCCAGTGCTGAATATATTAATAATCCTAGAACAGGCTTTCAGTTCAATAAAACTGGTGAATCCTCGACTAGGCAACAGAAAATACAAATTAACAACAGCATCAGAGATGGAAGAGAGAGTGCTTGCCTAGGAGGTGAGCGCATGGGTTCAATTCCATCACTGCATTAAAGAAGAAACACGTAGGAAAGGAGCAGATATACTGGGAACAGCTCCTGTGGGATATTAGAAGGGGGACTGGGGGTCGGCAGCATAGTGCAGGTGGTAGTGCCTGCCCAGCAGGAAGCCCCGGGTTGCTCCTTCCCTAGTACTGTTGGAAAGGCAACATGCACCTGTAATCCAACACTTAGGAGGTGGAGGAATTCAACACCAGTCTTGGCCGCACAGTGGGTATGATGTGAGCCTGGGCTACAGGAGACCCAGTTTCAAAACCAACAAAGCGAAGTACCCAGTAGGAGACAAACAACAAAAAGGACAATTAGAAAGCCTTTGTTAAGAAATTTTCATACCTTCCAGGACCAACAAAAAACAAAACAAAAACCGGTTAGGCTCAGATGATCTCGGTAGTCAGCTCTACCAAAGTCTTCAGGAGAGAATAATATCCATTCCTTATGGCTTCCAAAGCACAGAAGAGGAAGAAATAGTTCCCAACTCGCTTGACCAGTAATATCCTGGTAGGAACGACCAGTTCTCAGCAGCAGCTGTGGAACACTGAGTTCCTGTGCTAACACCCTTGGCTAAAGGTAGCTCTTCTTTTTACACAAAACCAAGGAACCGGTGTATCTTCCATTTCACTTTTTGGTTTGTTTCTACGGGAATGAATATACTGCCGGATCTCTTCCTACTTCCATGGTGTTTCCTTATTCAGTTCACCTTTTACTCTCCAGGTCCATCCTTCACGTTGGAATCATCACACTGCAAGCTATTTCAAGATTTTTTTTTTTTTTGAGTGGTTTGATTGGTCTAGCTGTCTTAAAATTCTTAAGAAACTTCCCCAAGTATTCTTCCCCTTGTCAGGAAAATACACTTGCTCAGAGAGAAAGGATGGCCTTGAATACTTATATACATTTGAATTCGGAATGCCTGGCTTCCATGACCCCATTTTGTTGGAGTAGCTGAAACTGTTACTGTGCTATGCAAAACTGAACATGCCCTTTGTATGGAAATGGGATTTCATTTACTGTACCAAATCATCAATCTAGTTTTTATAATAGCGGACACAGATCCTTTATAAGATGGCATTTATCTTTTATTTAGAGTATGAACAATATGTACCTATGTTGTTTATATACAGAAGAGACTTTGTAATTTAAAATATATAGCAGAGTAACTTTTAAATTCTGAATGAATGCAAACATGGTTCAGTTATGAGAGGATGCTTGAAATAATGCTGATATAGACTGACTTGACCAGTCTTTGTCTTCCTAAAGGAACCGACTTCTGTTCTCAATGTTTGCATTTTGTTTTGCATAGACATTCATCAATAATGACTAATGTGAGGGTCAAGCCTCCTGAATACACCTTTCATTTTTGGACCAAATAATTTGTCATGGCAATAAATAATTATGCATTTAAGAGAAAGGGTTTTGTGTTTGACTTAATGTATTCTTAATATGTAAGCAATTATTAGATACTGTGAAATTTCAACTTGTCAAACTAGGGTAAGGGATATAACAACATGGGGTTTTGTTTTCCTGCCAAATCGAGAAACATTTTGTTACATTCCTATTGCAAAGCTGTGTAAAGATTTACTAAATATACGTTTTGCTGATTTGTTCCTGACATAAATGGGTATTATTAGATGGACAGACAAAATTTTTATATTAGTACATGTTAAAAAACAGGCCTGATGGTGGTGGTGCATGCCTTCAATCTCAGCACTTGGGAGGCAGAGGCAGGCAGATCTCTGTGAGTTTGAGGCCAGCCTGGTCTACAGAGTGAGTTCCAGGACACGCTCCAAAGCTACAGAGAGAAGTCCTGTCTCAAAAAGAAAAACAAACAAACAAACAAACAAAAAAAACAGCCAAAACAATATGAAGTTGGGAATCACTTAAATGTGTATTATGAAAATAAAACATTCTTCAGGAGTTTTTAGGTTAAAACTAGGAAATTATTAACCTTGATCAAAGTTAACTAGAGTTGCCTTGGAATAGCTGGCCTGGTTCCTTGCTAGCTACTGCAGAACTGACCCCAGGAAAGATGGCCTCACCCCTCAGCACAGCGTGCACCTCACCTGGGCAGCACTTTAGAGCTGACCCTGTTGTCAGAAGACAGGTGAGCCAGCCCCGAGGGCACGAGGACAGCAGAGCTGACCCCACTCCTGCTCTCATCGGCCAGGTGGTGACAGTGGGTGAGGGAAAGATGCCCTTCCCCTTGCTACCCTTGGCAGGCAAGCGGGCTCGCCCTGGGATCATCAGAGATCTAGCCTTGTCCAGACACAGGTGAGCTGGCTCTGAGGGCATGACAGCTGAAGAGATGACCCTGCACCCCCTCCTCCCCCAGAACTGTCTGCCCATGTGGTGAAAGAACTAGCCTGCCCCTCACCAACTGCACCACACAGGAGAGCAGACCCCCCAGTCTCCCAGGGCAGTGGTGGCCCCGTGGTGTGAGTGTAGGTGGGGGGGGGGGCGGTGTTTAGCAGAGGCAGAGCTAGAGAGGGCCACCCAGGTGGTGACAATGGGGGAAAGCTGGCAGGCTGCCCAGCCCAGCTACCACCCAGGCCCAGAACCAGAGCTGAGTTAGCTCACCCCAACATCCACGTCATCTATGCATGTGAAGGGGACGAATCTACAGATTTAAAACTTTAGGACAATAGGATATCCAAGAGGAGCTCCAATGAGAGCCTAGTGTCCTGGTGTAGTAGGTCAAAGACTGTGACAGCGAACACTTGCAACACTTGCACGTGTAGAAGAAAGGGCTAAAGGGTTAACTGTGGAATTCAATTGGCCCCATTACCATTTCTATGCTGAGACCCTTTTTTTTCTTGGTTCATTTATTTATTTATTTTGTTTTGTTTGTTTGCTTTATTTGGTTTTCAGCTTTTCTTTAAAATTTTGTTTTGGGGGGAGGTTGCAAGGGCAGAAGGCGGGTGGGGAAGAGACAGGTGGGATCGGATGCATGATGTGTAATCTGCAAAGAATTAGTAAAAATTTAAAAAAAAAGCTAACTGAGTCAACCAGTTCTGGTCTGCTGTGGAGTGTGTGTGAGATGTGTGTGAGAGCTGACCCTGCCCCCCACCTCGTATGCCCCCTAGAGCAGTTGAGTGAGATGGCCCTGCACCTTGCCTGGGTAACAGCGGAGCTGGCCCTGTGGTGAGTGTGGGTGAGATGTTGTTGATCTGCGTGCACTAACAGCCACACACCCATACAATGCTGTTGAAAACAACTGAAAATGTTTATCCTGTGTTAAGAAATAATCAGGTTACAGGAAGGGGACCTGAATTGTTTCAGACAAGGATTTTCTGTTGGCTAGGCACCCAGGAAAGAGACTGTGGTTGACTGATTAACTACACTTCTATACAAAGTGTCACAGTATCTTCCAGACTGAATTACTAAACTGTAGTCCTGGGGCCCTAAGCAGCAGGTGCCATCACCACAGACACCCCTGCTACTGTACTCAGATGGCGGGGTTCATTTACCTCCAGAGCCCAGGACATCAGATACTGGCCCTATACAAGAAGGTTTGCTTTTACAAAAATCTACTTGGTAGACAAAAAAGCTTCAAGAATTGAGCTTGTTACAAACAAAAGCCGACAGTTATCTTAAAGGATGAAATATGTATAGGAAACACTGCAACGTTCTGTTCATTTGTAGTACAACTCACAAGACAAAACCACTGCTTTTACAACAAACATTTACTATTTAACTGTTTTATAGAAAACAAATTTAAATAACATATACTTATTTTTGCTGTTCATCATTTCACAAAGCTGACAAAATACAGGGAACAGTTCTGTGATTAAACAAGAAATTTAACATTAGGAATTTTCCTTAGGCTTCCACTTCCACAGCTGACGAGACCACACAGACTTGCGCAATGTCGTCGTATTCGTATGTTCTCTTTAAGAATGTGTCAGTGAGTCTTAGGCCAGAGACACTCTAGAGAGAGAGAGAGAGAGAGAGAGAGGGGCACTTCAGTTTTCAATCACCGATGATTATTAGAGAAAATATGGCTATCACAAATGATAATTTAGCCCACCCTGTTGATTACCAAAAAGAAAACGTACTTGGAGCCCCTGTACTGAAGACAGGAGAGTCAGGGCCAGGCAGAGTGAGGAGCTTGGATGCAGCTTTCCTAGCTGTCTTCCCGAAATGCCGCACCAGTGGATAGAATTAGTATTGCACATTTCCAGGACCAGGTCCATCGTCCTCTCACTGCTGAAGCAATCAGAGGGCAGGAATAAATCTTGTTTATTTCCTAAGGAGACACCATCACATTCCTTCTATTTTTCAGTAAGTTTACATTCCGGTTGTCCAGAAGAATAAGAACCAGAGAAAGAATGGAAAAAATGAGCATGTCATTCCTTAAGGTAGAATGACGGAGCCAGGATGATGGAGGGCAGCCTCAGCTACATAGCTAGTGCGAGGCCAGGCTGTAAGGAGGCACTGTCTCAAAAGCAAAACCAACAAAAAGACAGAATAAGGATAATGGGGTCACGGCATCCTCCAGGCTTATAGAAGCCTCACACCAGTTGAGGTCGTTTTCCAGTTGTTACTGAACATGGCTTCCCATGTTTATCTCTCTCTCTCTCTCTCTCTCTCTCTCTCTCTCTCTCTCTCTCTCTCNCTCTCTCTCTCTCTCTCTCTCCCTCCCTCCCTCCCTCCCTCCCTCCCTCCCTCCCTACCTAACTACCTACATGTCTGTGTGTCTGTGCAGGGACACACGTGCTGGTGTGCATGTGGAGGTCAGTGGACAACCTTGCAAGAGTTGGCTTTGTCCCTTGTCCATATGGGTTCTGGGACTCAGAGACTCAGGTTGACACACACACCTGGCAGCAAATGCCCCAGCCCAGGGAGCCTTCTTGCTCCTCAGAGTCTGGAGAGAAGGCCTCATGTCCTCTTGACTGCCTTGACACTCTCTTTGTAGCTGAAGATGACCTTGAACTTTTGGTCTCTTCCCTCAGTTTCTCCAGTGCGGCTGTGACGAGCAGCCAGCTAGAGGCAGAAGTTCAAGGTCATCCTCAAAACAACAACAACAACAAAGTAGTAGTAGTATGTATATAGTAGCTTCATAGACATAGAGTGTGATCAGGCGCTTCTCTAACTTTGAAGGGCATTTCCTAGTTCCTTAGACCTAAGAGATGGGGAAGTATGAAAGTAAAGTGGTTCTACAGCTATAGTAAAGGGTGACTCAACATTGCAATACTATTGCAGTACCCAAACAGATCATGTGAGTACTAGCAAGATGACTTTGCTGGATATAAGTCCTTTATGCTTTAAATTGTCTATTATTATCATTATTATTATTATTATTATTATTTATCTATTTTTTTGGTTTTTCGAGACAGAGTTTCTCTGTGGTTTTGGAGCCTGTCCTGGAACTAGCTCTTATAGACCAGACTGGTCTCGAACTCACAAAGATCAGCCTGCCTCTGCCTCCCGAGTAAACTGTCTATTTTTTTTTAAATATTTATTTATTTATTGCGTATACAATATTCTTTCTGCGTTATGCCTGAAGGCCAGAAGAGGGCACCAGACCTCATTACAGATGGTTGTGAACCACCACATGGTTGCTGGGAATTGAACTCGGGACTTTTGGAAGAGCAGGCAATGCTCTTAACCTCTGAGCCATCTCTCCAGCCCTAAACTGTCTATTATTTGCTTCTTCTGTTTACTTGCAAAACTGCTTAATGGCTGGGTGTGGTTTTAATGCCTTTAATCCCATCACTCCAGGAGACAAAGGCTGGTGGATCTCTATGAATTTGACATCAGCCTGGTCCATATAGCAGTTCTAGGCAAGCCAAGGCTACACAGTGAGACCCTGTCTCAAAAACAAACAAAAAACTTTAGCCTGTATTCTCATCACTCAGAAAGCAAAAAGATTATTATAAGTTCAAAGCCAATCTGGGTTATATAACAAGACTGTCTTAGAAAACACTACCAAAGAAAATAGGCAATAGACAAAAATCAGAATCATTTTTCCCAACTATAGGTACCTCTTATGTTAAGTTTTGACCTACATTTTTTCTTGTTCATATTAACGATATGGCTCAAGTTTAAGCATCAGAGAAATGAGCTGACTATTCTACATCTATGCCATCGCATAAGAGCCTGCAGCTCATCCTTCAGCACCATGAAATCTGAAGGAAGTATAAATGTGGCCTTCTCTAGCTCTCTTCCATAGCGTCAGTAATTAATACCCACCACATATTACCATTAATGAACGAAATAAGAACACAGGAAGTAAACACTAGGACTTCAAATATTTATAAACATTATTACCAGTGGTATTCAATATAGGAAGTGACAGGATATTTAAAGGGCACAGAGGTGCACATCTTTAATCCCAGCATTGGGTAGGCAGAAGCAGGCAGATCTCTGAGTCTGAGGCTAGCCTGGTCTACAGAGTAAGTTCCAGGATAGCTAGGGTTATACAGAGAGACTGTCTCAAAAACTAAAAAAGGGTAGGGAAATAGTTAAAAGATTAGCAAGTACTTTTAGGTGAGGAGAAAGGGGGCCCATCCCCACACACTGGCATTACCTGCAGTTTGTGATTTTGCAGGTAATATGGAAAGGTTCTTCTAGGTTCACGGTATCTGGGATGGCCTCTAAAGATAGCCTAACATCTCCATAACCTGGAGCCTATGAAAAGAAAGTAACACAGTTAAACTACACCTATTAAAGAAACCTTCCGATGCTAACAAAGGTACTATACCAGCACCTTCCCTCAGCAGGCTCAGATCTCGCAGTTGATGCTCTGTGAAATTCTGCAGCCCTGCTCAGGTCTCCCACGCTCACCTCTTTTACTGTGAGCTTGGGTGGAACAACCCTGCAAACCCGGACTGTTTGTGATATAATTACTCCGGGACTCAGTAAAATAAAGATGAATCTTGCCTCTAGATAAGGAATGTGTTAGGACTCAGGGGATCTGATCTCAAAGGTTTGCTGAGTTCCAGACCAGCCAGGGCTACACAGTGATACCCTGTCTCAAAACAATCACAACAAAGGCTAAATAGCAGGCAAGCGCTATAAAATTCAGGACACTGCCCAGAGCACCTCAATGTAATGGGAGTCAGATGAACAGTGAGCAGGACTTAGGAAAGACAAGAACAGCTGGTAAGCAGCTATCTTAAGTCCTGGTTGGTAAAGTTTAACAAAACACACACACACGCTAAAGAGAAACCAACATCTGACTGAACATTTCCATGAATCTCAACACTAGGTTTCTACCAAGCGATCAAAACAACTATTAGTATTTTCTAGAAATCTGACTTCATGGTGCCCTGCTTTTTAGTGTTAAGCGGTGATACCTACGTGTCCCCTGTGCACCCAACCCCACACTGAAGTGTTTGCTAGACTCACCATTCTTTGAAGCTGGCTGGTCTGTAACCGTCCCCTTTCACCTAGGTTTGTTTTCCACACTATGTCCAATTTTCCAATGACCGTTACACCTTTAATGATGCCAGCTTTTTCTGCAAACTCCTTCTTGGGCTTTAGGCAGTATAAGTACTGGCGTGTATCCATTGGCTGCAAATATCCTCTGGATCCAAATGTAGATACACTGGCAGGTGTAGAAATAGACAGAAAGAAGTCTGCTAGCATCTTTCTGAAGGAAATCTCACAAGGTTAATTCTTTTTCTCTTCTTGGTTCTTTGAGACAGGGTTTCTCTGTGTAGCCCTGGCTGTCATGGAACTCACTCTGTACACCAGGCTGATTTCCTACTCACAGGGATGCGCCTCCCAAGTGCTAAAGGTGTGCACCACCATGCCTGGCTCATGTGCTTAATTCTTTAGGATACGAATTGGATGATTTACTGCACGGAGATCTAGGAGCAGCCAGAGACTTTAATCCAAATGAAAAGGAATATCTTCCTGATGAGACAGTGAGTTAAAGGCCATCTTGGGCAATTTGTAAGACTGTCTCAAAATAAAAAAGTAAAAAAGAGGCTTGGGGCTATCTGATGTAGCATATATCTCATATAGCATGTGTGAGGCACTGGGTCAGTCCCCAGGACGACCCCTCCCACAAAAAGATGGGGGGACAGAGAGAAACTAGCTTAGAAACAGAGCAATATATGCTATTCTGTCTCTGTGTGGCATCGGGGAGAGAACCCTGGGTGTTGTACATGCTAGGCAAGTGCTAAACCATTTAGCTACACTACCACCCTCGAGATACAACATTCTAATCTAAGTAATTGCTTTCAAAATGAATGAAGGATGGGAAGCTGTTTTCTCAGGGCTAGTAAAGGAGGCTGCTAACCTTCCTATATCCTAAACCACCACACGAGCTGTTTACTGCTAGGAATTACTAGGAATCATATTCACTGGAAAAGTCAGGCATGCTCCCCAGCTGCTACCTCCTCATCTACATTAATAATACATTTATTTGTTCCTTCTCTTCTGAAATAGCTATAGAAAGACATGGACACTTTCCACACACTAGTTCAAGCCATCTACTCCGACGTGCATGTCTTCTTATATGCCGATAATTTCTTTTCCAAACTCACTCACCCTATCTTCATTTCCTAATTTCTTCTCCACCATCCTTCCCATGTTTCAGTTTTATCACTGGCAGAATAATAATGATAGTTTCAGATTTATCTGGGTGAAATGTGAAGGTTAAGGAACAAGTGCAGTTGGGAGGTGGTGCATACCTTTAATCCCAGCACTCGAGAGGAAGAGGCAGGTGGATCTCTGAGTTCAAGACCAGGCTATAGAGCTATGTGAAGAAAACTCTATGGGAAGGGAAAGAGAGACACACACACAGAGACACACACACACACACACACACACACACACACACACACAGAGAGAGAGAGAGAGAGACAGAGAGACAGAGAGAGAGACAGAGAGACAGAGACAACATGCACTTATGCAAAGAAACTTGTATTGGGAAAAGAGAGAAAGACAGGGCTGGAGAGATGGCTCAGTGGTTAAGAGCATTGCCTGCTCTTCCAAGGTCCTGAGTTCAATTCCCAGCAACCACATGGTGGCTCACAACCATCTGTAATGAGGTCTGGTGCCCTCTTCTGGCCTGCAGACATACACACAGACAGAATATTGTATACATAATAAATAAATGTTAAAAAAAAAGAAAGACAGACAGACAGACACACACACACAGAGACAGAGAGAACATGCATTTATGCAAAGAAACTTGTATTGGGAAAAGAGAGGGGGAGAGAGAGAGAGAGAACGAGAACAAGTACTTTCAACAGCGCAACACAAGATGGGCAAAGGCGAGGCTGTTTATGTAGAGGGAGACACAAGTAGGTGTACGGAGACCTCATTAGCAATGGCAGACACACCGTTATGCACTTGTCCAGTGTTACAGTGTGTATGTGTACGTCACATACGTGGGCTTCAACTGTGGGCTTTTGCTTGTATTAAGAATCAACACTGGCCCACCAATCATAACAAGTGCTACATCAATACAAGATGGGAGAGCTGGGTGCAATGGAGTACGATGCTCTTTGGGAAGCTGTTGCAGAAGGCTAGCTTGAGCTTAGCCTGGCAACATGGAGACAGCCTGGCTCTAAAACACACAAAAAGGCACGTAAGAAAACAGAAAGCAAAGGAGAAACTGGCTGCAGAGGACAACCTGTGGGACTTCTACTTTCTCACTGAGGTTATGATGAATCTAACCTCATAATTGGGGGGAAAATTATGTCCCCCAATTATTTTAAAATAAATCAAAATCTACTAGACTGGGGGACATCAGAAAAGCTTGCATCTTTCCAAATAATAGCAAACATTTCATATTTACCATTCCCCGGCTTGGGCCACCGAATTTAATTCTGTTACATTGTACATTATTGACGGCTCCAGTGAAACTTTCTCCATAAACATGGGTGAGGTTGTAATGTTCTGAATTTGAGCTTCGAGAAAGACTTCATCAGTCTAGGGACATGGAGAAACAAATCCACCAAAATGTCATGATATTTAAAGTATTTGGCACAATGAAAATATCTTACTTATATGAAAAAATATTAACCACAAATGTGATTAGTTCATGCCTGCAAATCAAAAGTGTCACAATTAATGCAAGAAAAGAAATCTTCATCCTAACATAATAAACAGGAGCAAAGTGAGGTGTTAGTCAACAGTACCCTGCCAAACAATGGATGTGGGATAACCGGCTTATAGTTTATATGTTTTATAGAATCTAGAAGCATGCGTTTAACTCATACTTCAGTAACAACAACAAAAATCCCAATCTGATAAGATGTTCAAATGTTAGAAGGGACTTCAGTGTGATGGGCACACTCAGTGCTAAGGGCAGAAAACCAGGTCTTCATTCAAATATTCCAGCACAACGTAACTAGCATGTGATTACTTCATGTGAGATAGTGACACCAGCGATGAATAATCTATTTTTATACCCTTTAGGGCGTAGATTTTTTTAAAGTAAAGAAATTCACAAGTAGTCTTAGTCACTTCTTGGTTCATTTTATACAGATATTTAAGGTGAAATCATAATATGGGGAGTGGGCTAATGATACTTCAGCTTTTAAACTAGCCACACTGAAATAGTCTATAGACTTTGACAATTTCAAAATGCCATCATTAAGTTCAGTTAGTGCATAACTTCAATATTCAGTTTACAAAAACATTGAATTCCCTAGTTACTTCTGCTTAACATTCTTAATTTCATGCCTCTTGGTTCTGGGTCTGTTTTGAGTGACTGAAGAATAAAAAATGTTATGCTAAAGTAATTCAAAAATTACTCCCCCTCCCAAAGAAGTTTCAGTTATAGAACTATGGAAATTGGGGAATTATGAGCTTTTAAAATGCTAAAGTCAGAAAATGACAATCATGTAAAATATAATGAAGTTATAATTTAATGTGCCTTAGCAGATTCTCTAGCCTTTTAGACATGTGCTCACGTCAAAACATTAGTACAAGGAATGTTTTTAAAATAATGTCCCCCCCCCCCTTTGAGACAGAACATCTCTATTAGCTCTGCCTGTCCTGGAACTATGCAGACAAGACAGGTGTGCACCACACCCGGCTAAAGCAATGTGCCATTTAAACTCATAATTTGATTACTTTTTTCTTTTTTCTCCCCCCACCCCTTTGGTTTTTTGAGACAGGGTTTCTCTGTATAAATCCATGGCTGTCCTGGAACTCACTTTGTAGACCAGGATGGCCTTGAACTCACAGAGACCCATCTGCCTCTGCTTCCTGAGTGCTGGGATCAAAGGCATGTGCTACCATACCCAGCTCAGTACTTTTCCTTAAAAAAAAAAAAAATAAGTGAATATATCCCATAAATCCATTGCTCTTCAAACAACCCAAGGCCCACATTTCAATTATTAAAATGCAATTCTCTGTATAAAGTAATGCACAGCTTAGAGAAATGAAGGGAAGCAGCATAATGGAAAATCAAGTTAGTGTGAACAGTTAGTACGAAGTCATTGGACATCTGAAAAACGAGGACCAGGATCGAGTACTCAGGCTGCCAGGGCAGCGCCTACCCATGGACAGCATATGCAAATGCTACGTACTGTAGGGAGAGCTGAAACATGAATCCAGCCAGTATGGGAAATTTGCTTTTCTTTTGCCTGCTTTTTATCAAAGGCCAGCCTTACCTGACCCAGATATAAAACCACTGTGCATCTCAAAATGAATTTCAATTGTACATTCTATGTGAGGAATGAAAGGTAATTGGATATTTCACAGCAAAACATTGAAAATCCAAGAATAAAAGATACCGAGATGGTATGTCCCCTCTAAAAAACACCCAAAGAAACTAGAAATTAGAATGGAGCTGCTTCAGTGTGACAATTTAATCTTTAATCTCACAATTTAAAAAGCATGCTTAAATTGTGTATTTTCTTTCAGAAGCCACAGATCTAGTATTCACAACTAACTGTTTTTCCACTATGTTTTTTTAGAGAGATTAATTAGGCAAAGTCAAAAAGGGATGAGAAAAAGCATATAAATTTATAATAAAAAATGAAATTACCACAGAACTGAGGTCACTCTAATGGAAAAATAAAAAAGAAAAATTAGAAAAATCAGAGTTAAATGTTAAAGAAAAAGAATAACTTTAAAATAAAATGCATCTCTGCATTTTTTTTACTTACTAAAGACAGCATTAGTAAACAAGAAAGTAAACAGGAAGCAACATACAGAAATACGACAAACTACTTTTCTAAAAAGGTGAAATTGCTATGGTTAAATGACAATGGGACAGAGAAGAACATTATGGCTGAATATTTAAACAAGAACAAATAGGGAAAGACATATTGAGGGCAGAGTTTGCTCACTAACCTGCTTGTACACATTGTTTACCTGTACTGAGTTCTCCTGTTGTACACAATGTTTACCTGTACTGCATTCTCCTGATGTACACATTGTTTACCTGTACTGCATTCTCTTGTTGTACACAATGTTTACCTGTACTGCATTCTCCTGTTGTACACAATGTGTACCTGTACGGCATCCTCCTGATGTACAATGTGTACCTGTACTGCATTCTCCTGATGTACAATGTTTACCTGTATTGCATTCTCCTGTTGTATACATTGTTTACCTGTACTGCATTCTCCCGTTGTACACAATGTTTACCTGTACTGCACTCTCCCGTTGTATATACTGTTTAACTGTATTGCATTCTCCTGGTGTGCATTCTTTACCTGTACTGCATTCTCTTGGTGTGTATTGTTTACCTGTACTGCATTCTCCTGTTGTATACATTGTTTACCTGTACTGCATTCTCCTGATGTACACTGTTTAACTGTTCTGCATTCTCCTGGTGTGCATTCTTTACCTGCACTGCCGTTCTCCACAGCTCAGGTGGCTGTATACGCCATCCCACATTGAGAACAGAGCATTATAAAGCTTGTCTTGAATTTACCTATGCTGGAATCTTTTCCTAGAGGAGGATCTTGGGTGATTAAAGTTACCATAAAGTTGTCATAGGTTATACTTCAGAAAAAGTTGGGATAGATCATCCCAGACAATTCAGCTTATTTTCTTCTTATTCTTATTAGATTTCAGTCTATTGTACATTATGTAAATACATATTTAAAAGCAGGCTTGGTAAGTCCAATGTCAAATGACATCTCTTTCGTCAAAGGTATAGCTGGTGATAATTTGTCACTGCTATGTTCCTGAGTTCCTGTCAGTGTTTGGGATACCAGGAGTCACATGTATTGCAGTTATATTATGTTATGCAGTCTCCTCCACCAGAGTAAGTTTCTTGAAGCTAGGGAAGATACCTGCTTATATTATTTTGCTTCCACACCTGACACAAGGCTTTGAACTCAGCAGGTGACCAAGTGTCTGACTCTCAGTTACTGATTTCTGTATCTGCCTGCAAGACTTTCCTAGTTTAGAAAACCACAGCAAAATTTTTCACGAAACCAGTTTTTATTTAGGTGATTCATGTCAAGCATGATTAGAAACAGTATCAAAACATGTTTGACAAATACATGGTACAAGGACCGTAGGAAAGTATTTCATATCATCCATTCACAATGATGTGGTTTACTAACTACTTAAAATAGACAATTTGATTCATGCTATTGGCTGAACAGTATTTGCTTGTCCAACTTGTAATTTTGAGAAACTTTGAGACCACAGAGCTTTATTCCACTGTTTCTGCTTTGTTTTCGCACTGTTTTAGACACTCCCACTTCTTATCCTGTTGTTATTTTATGTACCGCTCTATATCTTTTTGTTAATTACATGCATTTTTCCCTTTCCTCTAATAGGTATTTACACATTAGGTTCCTTTACTGTGACAACTAAACAATTATAGCTATAACACACCCTTTATTCTGAGCAACAGCATGACAGGATTGCAAATTCCTCATCACCACCTGGTGTAAGTAAAAGAAGTAATCTTTACGACAAAATACCGCTGGAGTAATTCTCAATTTATCATAGAGATTTTGAGGGGTAAAAGGAATTTGCATAAGAAGATTCCTCTTTTTTTCACGCCAGGGTCTCTATATGTCTCAGGATGACCTGTAGCTCACTGTGTAGCACAGTTGGCCTAATTCCCTATCTACCTGCTTCAGCATCCCAGTCAAGTGGTTAGGGGCAAGTGCCACCACTCCTAGCTGACATCTCATTTTCTACAGCTCTGGAGGAAATAAAGAATTTTTTGGCAAAAATCTAAACAACAAAATCCTTTCTATTGGGGCCAGCCCTACTTAATTTTCCTCTGTGCTAAAGAACAAATCACCTCCTGCTCTTCAAGTTATGTCTTTCTCAGTTCTGCCCAACGAGGCTCTCCCAGTGGCTTTCAAGCCACTTTGCCGCCCTGCTCTTCTTGGTGCCCAGGGAGTCTTGCTGCACTTCTCTTCAGTGGACAGTGAGCCTATGCCTGCCCCTTGAGTCGTAGAACATCCAAAGTCACTGCAAATACTCGGCAGATTGCTGGTATTTGAAAGCAATACCACCACCATTATGGAAGATTGAGGGCAGTTGTTTAACAAAAGGGGTGACTGTCCCAGAAAACCACGAGAGCGGAAGTCAGGACGCGCTGGTTGTATGTAGGTTGAACCCAGCAGAACAAGGGACACTTTAAGGCAATTCACTTCCCACTGGATTAGCTCCCTCATACCAGCAGTTTACTAAACCTGACAGGATAGGCAGCGCCTCTGATTTTCAGTCACCATTTCAATGTTTAATCTGAAGTCTTATTAAGTGCCCAACACTTACCTCTGCATTGTAAAATTTGGTTTTCACATCCAATGGTTTGAGGACCTGGTCAAAACAAAGAACACAGTCAGGAAACTCAGACTCAACAGTGCTTATTTTAAAATACAGGCTTTAGTGACCCAAAGCCATGTCTAATTTTTTATTGTATATGCAATATTCCTGTAAAAGAATCAATAATTTTTCATTTAAATAATTCTTTGGACATTTAATGCTATTTTCAATCATCTTATTTAGGCTTTATATTCATTTTATCTCTTTATATTTTTGTGTTTTGTTTCATCAATAAAATGAGGTTTTACTTTGAAACAAAATGGCTCATTTTATTATAAAAACATTACACTGGTGATGATAATTTACATTTCAACTTAGTCTGACTTTTGAACCAGTTTATAAATGAACTAAGAAAGGAGCTATTTAATTAAAACTTGTTCCCCAGAGGGGGAATAATCACACTCCCAGAAAAACAAAAGGCATTTGAAAACAACTTTATCTCTGCCATATTCAATACCTGAAATTTGAAGAATTTTCTGAAGTACATTTTTTCTCCGCCCTGAGTTGTATAACTCACAGCACACACCAAGCTGAAACAGAAAGACGTCTTAATAGTCTAAAATCATTTTCCTTCTTATTTTTTTTTTTGTTTTTCAAGACAAGGTTTCTCTGTGTAGCCTTGAGTATCTTCGAACTCTCTTTGTAGACCAGGCTGGCCTCAAATCCACAGAGATCCACCTGCTTCTGCCTCCTAAGTGCTAGGATTTAAAGGTGTGCGCCACTGCTCAGCTTCCATCTCTCACTTCTTAATAAATTTAAAATACTTCAATTCTACTTATAAATGTAAAAAAGATTATGTCGACAATATGAAACTGAATCTAATGAGATTACAGCAGGGAAAAAACATATATGGATATAGACACATGAACAAGAAAATACTGTCGAGAAAATGAGATCTGGGGGCTGGAGATGACTGAGGGCTTAAAGGGGCCTCCTGTGCTGGCAGAGGACATGGGTTTGACTCACCACTCACAGGGCTGCTCAGAACAGCCTGCTAAACTCCACTTCCAGGGGATCTACACCTTCTTCTGGCCTCCACTGGCTCCTGCACACACCTGATATACTAACTATATTTACACAGTCTCACCCACAGACGCATAAATTAAAATAAAAAAAGTATAAAAGAGATACCTAGCCCTTTTGGAATAGGAACTTCAAATTCTTCCTTTGGAAGTAGAATATGTCCAAAAATAATGTCCAGAATAAGCAAGTGACTGAAGGGAAAAAGAGTTCATTTGCACTAGAAAAATATGTATCTTAAAGAAAATCCAGAGTAGAATTACAGGATACCTCCGAGTACAAATTTTAATCAAAACACTAGGAAAGCTAGCTGGAGTGGAGCACGCCTTTAATCCCAGCACTAGGGAGGCAGAGGTGGAGGCCAGCCATGAATACATAGTGAGTTTCAACAAAACAAAATCTATTAAAACAATTAAAAAGTTAATATAAAATATTTCTAATAACATGACAAGATGGTTAAATTGTTAGTTTATAAAGAGTTCTTCTAACTCAATCCACAAAGACAAATATGTCACTCAAAATGTGAGGAAAAGAATGCATAGCCAGATTATGAAAATACATAGATGTGTTACAATCCTATAGTCAACACAATGTGAAATGGTCACTCACACACAGCCCAGAAGCTAAAATAATGAGACGACATTTCCAGTCTTACAAGGTTTGGCAAGAATTCCCTGGGTTGGTGAGGGTTAGAGAAACATAATTTCTTTATATTGCCAGATGGTGAAAGAAATTTAGAAACAATCTTTTGGTTTAAAGCCTTAAGAATGTTGATGTATTCACACAGAACACCTACTTCAAGACTTGATAGGCAATATAACTACACATTATTTTGTTGTTTAAAGTAGCAAAAAACTGAAAACATACTGTGACACTGGAGTAAACAAACCACACCGATTAAACACGTAAGAGGCAGTCATTCAGAAAATCATGTTTTCAAGGATATTGACTGATATAGAAAAATATTTACAGTAAATGGAAAAGGATAAAAGCTTGTGTAATACATTATTTATATATTACTATATATTTATATATGCATGTATATACTTATATGTATATCAAATGGCTGAAAAACACATTAATCTTTTAGTAGCTTTACGCAACTTGGTCTAAATAAATATATTATATGCATAGAGATATTTATATGTATATAGTATGACTGGGAAATAATCTTTTATAGCTCTACACAGCTTGGTAACATTGGGTAATTTAATTTCTCCTTTATACTGGTACCCTGTACTGGTGACAGGCGCTAGAAAGCAAGTTGATCAAAACATAATACCACAGCTGGAGATGGTGTCATATGCCTCTAATACTAGTAGGGGAAGCTGAGGCAGGAGGATCATAAGCTGGAGGGCAGCTTAGTACATATCAAGTTTAAGAGCAATTTGACTAAATACTGATAACCCCATCTCAACAAAACATAACACCCCTAAGCAAGAAAATAAACACATAAGCAAACAAAAACCCATGTGCGTGCACACACACACACAAATAACAACAAAACAACAACAACAACAACAGCAAAACATCCCCCAAACCAGCAATAAAAACCAAACCAAACCAAACTCAAACCCTCCATAACACTTGCCCTGAAAGTGTTCACAGCAGAAACACGAGAGCACCTATAGATTTGGGGACTAGGCGTGGAGAGAAATACTACAGTGGCCTCGGGTTTTGAGACTAGCCTTGAGTTCTGTGTCTTCTAAAGCAGCTGTTTAGCTCTTTTCCTATAGAACGGTGAATGTACACAACTGATCCAGGAATCTCAGCTGCAGTGGCTAGGAACCGCTGTTCTCTGCTACTTCCCTGGGATATATACACTACAAAGATTTCATGTTTTAACCCCATAGTAACCGTAAAGACAAAAGATTAAAAAAAAAAAAAAAACCCAACAGGTTGTGGAAGCCGAAGCTATATACAAAGGTGAGCACAGCTTCTTTGAAGAAGTAATGTTTCTCCTGAGATATGAGAAGTTATACAATATGCCACAGGCAAACACACGTCACACCACAGGGTGAGTGTGGAGTTAAAGGACACCCACATGACCGCAGAGCAGAAGGAGAAGGAGGACTGACACAGGAGGTGGATTAGGGTATAGGCAGCTTTGAAAGCATACGTAAAGTCAGAATTTCCAAAAGCCAATGGGAAATCTTTCAAAAGCAAAGTGATTGATAAATGGTGGTTTCAGAAATTTGGCTTCTAGGAAGCTTTAATCCAAAGTTCCTGTACGTTCAATAGAGCTGTGGAATTCATCTGATCAAATTATAGAGGTGCAAATTTATATTTAGTGTTGGTAGTATTATATGTTTTAACAGACACAATGAAGAGAAGGAAAGGGATGATGGAGCAGAGAGAAGAGGAAGAAATACTTTGAAGACATAATCGGCTTCTGTGAAGTGACTGGCATAGGGGTGCCACTGGAGCTTGTGAAGCCTAAATAATCTCAGAGGGTCCAAATGTTCACTTGTTTTCAGACTGAAAAACAGTATTCAGTTTCAAATACATTCACAGGTCAGGAATGCAAAAGTCATACCTTGTCTTCTTTGGTTCTCTATTTGATTGTCAAGATAGGACAGAGTAAATGCTTTTGAGAAGTAGTAAACTTAATCCTTACATGTGTGTTCCAATTTCCTTGACTTCATGGTGTATGACATCATCAATACAACAATCGGGTTTAAGCTCAGCCACGGCAGCATTGGAGGCTGAAAGGTTTAAACGCTGAGAACTTGTCTGAAGATCCGCCTTGAAAGAAAAGGTAAGAAGTATCCACATGAGGTTGCTCAGACATCTCCAGGGTAAGGATGCGCAGGGGTGGAAAGGCTATGAGGACAGCTGGATGGTTATCTGGGAAGATGACCGGGGAGAGTGGTGGGGGCAGATTTCTGAATTAAAGACCAGCCGGTTCTACGGAGTGAATTCCAGGCCAGCCAAGGCTACATAAAGAAACACTGTCTCAAAAGACAGAAACCAAACAAACAAAAAGAAAGTCTCTAATGCAGCATTGTCTCCTACCTGGCTACTCTCCAGCCAATGTCCTCTTTACCACCTTAGAATGTCTGTCATTTTAACTCTTAGATAGCAGCTCCCTTTTATGTCAGTTATTGACTATAGGCTTTCATTTCCTTTGTAACATGCATTTTAATCTAAAATTACTTTATTTGTGGTTTTTTGTTCTGTTTTCCATACTAGAAATGTCTATAGAGTAGTAACCTCTTGTTTTGTTTACTTCTACGTCACAGTGCCTGGCTGTATTAGTTAGGGTTCTCTAGAGTAACAGAGTTTACAGAATGAATCTCTCTCTCTCTCTCTCTCTCTCTCTCTCTCTCTCTCTCTCTCTCTCCACACACACACCCACACACAAAGGGGATTTATTAGAATGACTTACAGCAGTGATTCTCAACTTTCCTAATACTGCAATCCTATAATACAGTCCCTCATTGTGGTGACCCCAACCATAAAATTTTTGTGGCTACTTCATAACTGTAATTTTGCTACTGTTTTAAATCAAAATGTAAAATATCTGTGCTTTCAGATGGTCTTAGGCTATCCTTGTAAAAGGGTTGTTTGACCCCCAAAGGGGTCACCACCCACAGCTTGAGAAGCACTGACTTAGAGGCCGCAGTGCAGCTAATCTAACGACGGCTGGCTGTGAATGCAGAACAGCAGTTCACAGCAAGAACCCAGTAGTTGGGGCTGGAGAGATGGCTCAGTGGTTAAGAGCATTGCCTGCTCTTCCAAAGGTCCTGAGTTCAATTCCCAGCAACCACATGGTGGCTCACAACCATCTGTAATGGGGTCTGGTGCCCTCTTCTGGCCGTCAGGCATACACACAGACAGAATATTGTATACATAATAAATAAATAAATATTAAAAAAAAAAAGAACCCAGTAGTTGCTCAGTTCACAAGGCTGGCTGTCTCAGCTCGGCTTCAGTTATGCTGGAATCTACAAGAAGTAGGCTCTAATACCAGTGAAGGAATAGACTTGCTGGCAAGGCGAGGGCAAGCAGGCAAAGAGAAATCCTTCTTCTATGTCCTTACACAGACTTCCAGCAGAAGGTGTGGCCCAAGTTAAAGGTGAATCTTGATTACTGCACTCTTCCTCAGATAAAGTCACCTTTCGATAAGCAGCTACTTGGGACAAATGTATCTTCACATCTTATGCCACGCGGAGAGATCTATCCATATTTATATACTTTCCCCCAGAAGTCTTTCTCACCAATTTTCCAATCCAGCTCTTTCACCAGCCGTCAATTCATTGGCTAGAGCACATGAATCAGTGAACAACTGCACATGTGGCCATTTCTCCTTACAAAGAAAATGTATGGCCATGTGCCCAGAGTTCTGGCCACTGTGAGGACTTCCCTTCACTGGTGTCCCAGCTGTGCATTTCTGGGTGGTGCCTCCACAGTGTGCTGGACCATCAAGAAACCAGACTCTAGTCTTCTCTTCCTCAGTGAATGCATCACAGGGACACCCCAAAAGACTATAGATGCAAGCTTGGCAGCAGATGATCTGTTGGGGGAGGCCGCTCATTTGTTCCTGGTCACCCAGACTCCAGAAATAATCACACAGAAATCTGTATTAATTGCAATACTGTTTGGCCAATCGCTTAAGCATATTTCTGGCTAATTCTTTTTATTTTTTTATTTTTTAATTTTTATTTTATTTTATTTTTTTTCGAGACAGGGTTTCTCTGTGGCTTTGGAGCCTGTCCTGGAACTAGCTCTGTAGACCAGGCTGGTCTCGAACTCACAGAGAGCCACCTGCCTCTGACTCCCGAGTGCTGGGATTAAAGGTGTGCACCACCATCACCCGGCCTGGCTAATTCTTATATCTTAAATTAACCCATTTCTATTAATATGTGTATTACCACGTGGCTGTGGCTTATCGGGTAAAGTTCCACAGAAGAGTGCAAACATGCTGTCTGGTGTTCTCCATCTCTTTTGTTTAACACGATTATTCCTAGTTCCATTCACTTTCTTGCAAATGACAGAAATTCCTTTTCTTTACAGCAGAACAGATCTCTTGTGTATATATGCCACATTTTCTCTACCCATTCACGCACACAGTGACTTTTTACTTCCTTTATCCAGGCCCTTTCTCTTTTGAATACAGTTCAAGCTCTTAAGAGACTGGACACTCCAGCATTTGATTTCCCAACCACTCCAAGAGTTGTCTAACTGTTCCATTTTCTACAGAGCACCCCCACAGTGATCACCGCAGCCTTCCTAAAGAAGCTGACTACTTCTAGTAAAAGCCCAGTGACACTAAAAGGTTTTATGTTTTGTGCTGTGGATGGTCTTTCTGTATGCTGTGAATATGTGTTGCTCTCATTGGTTGATAAATAAAACTTCAATAAGGCAGGATAGAGCCAGGTGGGAAAACCAAGCAGAGATACAGGAGAAGGGTGGAATCTGGGAGACACCAGCCAGCTGCTGAGGAAGCAAGACGTGTTACAAAATGAGGAAACACGCCATGAACCACATGGCAAAGCATAGATAAGAAATATGGACTAATTTAAATGTAAGAGCAAGCTAGTAAAAAGCCAAGCATTTATAAGTAATATTAAGCCTCTGAGTGTTTATTCAGGAACTGGAGGGTGGGAGAGAAACTTCTAATTAGTTTTGTTTTGTTTTTTGGCTAAAATCTTAGCCTGGTTTTCAAGACGCTACACTAAACAGCTTTACCACCTGACATGGCACGTGAGATTTAGTTTTCATCTACAAGAATACACTGTTTCTGTCCCCCCCCCCCACCGCGCCCTATACTCTTCCTCTAATCTGACCTCTTTCTCTCCTCTACTGTCCCTTCCTGCAATGAGGAAGTGACTTCTAGTGTATTTCCCCCTAAGTCTTCCAAGTACTATTATGTTAGTTAACCACACACAAACACTGCAACTATCATTCCACTGAATAGTCATTTTCTTAGCCAAGCCAACAGAAATCCTGAGCAGAAGGAAAATGTTTCTGGGTCCTCCATAATATTTGGCACGCATCAGTGTTTGTCAATGACATTTAAAAGTCTAGTACTGATCATGCCTTTCAATGAAGTTCCCAAGGCTCAACAGAAATAAAAATATACCTAAATAAAATGCTTTGTAAATAAGAATGCCACTTACCTTCACCAGTATATCTTTTACAACTTGATTGCTGTCATTATGAACACTGATATAACTGGAAAAGGTCTCTCCCAAAAATATATTCCTATGAAATGAAACAGCATTTTAGCCAGAAATTCATTCAGTCATTAAGAGAATCATTCTGTTCAAGTAAGAATTCAGGTGGAAGAAAATTTACTGAAGGTTCAAGGAAATATTTCTTCAGTGTTATTTTCATTGGGCACTTCAAAATGGGAATGTAATGACACATGCTATAATACAGCTGCCAACCGCTACATACATTTCTGGACATCCTGGAAATAATGGCCACTAGAAACAGAGCTGGCCTGTCATAAGATTTATATCTGAAAACACTAGAAAATGTCATTTTCATTTTTTAAATAACTTACGCTCTAAATCTAGATGTTCCAAGTTAATCCATCTTGGAGAACTTTTCCATTATTTTCCTAATAGAATGACTACTGGTTTAACACTGTAAAGTTTTTTTTTTTTTTGAAAAAACTTGTATTAACTTCTATGTGTGCAGGTGTTTTCCTTGCAACTATGTGTGCACACATGCATGCAAAGCCTGAGCGGACCAGAAGAGTCAGATGTTGTGATAGTTTGAATGTAGTTGGCCCTATAGTCTCATAGGGAGTGATATTATTAGGAGGTGTGGCTTTGTTAGAGTGGGTATGGCTGTGTTGGAGAAAGTGTGTCACTGTGGGGACGGGCTTTGATGCTCAGGCTACTGTCCCACGTCACAATTGACTTCTTGTTGCCTACAAGATGTAGGACTCTCAGCTACTTCAACACCTGCATGCCACATGTTCCACCATAGTGATAATGGACTGAACCTCTGAACTATAAGTGAGCCATCCCTATTAAATGTTTTCCTTTATATGAGTTGCCTTGGTGTCTCTTAACAGCAATAGGAACCCTAATTAAAGACAGATGTCCTGGAATTAGAGTTACAGGCAGTTGTGAACAGCAATATGGATGTTGGGAATTGAACCCAAGTCCTCTGGAGGAACAGTCTGTGTTCTTTTCTTTTCTTTTCTTTTCTTTTCTTTTCTTTTCTTTTCTTTTCCTTTCCTTTCCTTTCCTTTCCTTTCCTTTCCTTTCCTTTCCTTTCCTTTCCTTTCCTTTCCTTTCCTTTCCTTTCCCTTTCTTTCTTTCTTTCTTTCTTTCTTTCTTTCTTTCTTTCTTTCTTTCTTTCTTTCTTTCTATCTTTCTTTTTGGTTTTTCAAGACAGGGTTTCGCAGTGTAGCCCTGAAACTCACTCTGTAAATCAGGCTGGCCTCAAACTTACAGAGATCTGGCTGCCTCTGCCTCCTGAGTGCTGGGACTAAAAGCGTATGCCACTACCGCCTGCTCAGTCTGTGGTCTTAAGGGCTGAGCCACCTCCCCAGCCCCCTACTCTATATAATTTTAATAGTTTTATATCAATACATTTCCATGTCTCCAAAATACTAGTTTATGATCACACCTTATAAGCTTAGGAAAAACAAAAACACAAAACCCATATCAAACTCAAAAAAATTCCTTTTTGTCTCAAATTCTTTCAGTTGTGAATATTTTTAATTTTAAATTCATTGATAATATAGAATAAGAGAAGAAATAAAAAAAGTTTAGAGTGGATTAGCTAATAAATCTGATAATATCTATAGGGAGACAGGTGTGAGTGGAATGCAGCCCAGTAAGAGAGCTACTCTGAAAAAGTTAGCAATGCTGGTATATTCAACTAAAGGTATGTACCAGTTGCTGCCAGTTTTTAAGACCTAGGGCTGGGGTATGTTGACAGCGCTGTGGTAGAGCACAGAGTCACTGGAGGTTAAGACCTAGGGCTGTGGTAGAGCACAGAGTCACTGGAGGTTAAGACCTAGGGCTGGGGTAGAGCACAGTCACTGCAGGTTAAGACCTAGGGCTGGGGTATGTTGACAGCGCTGTGGTGGTGCTGGGTAGACAAGACCCATGGCTTTAGTTACAACACAAAGAACAAAGTTAAAATGCTATCATCATTTTAGAACCACTATCATTAAGAGCAGTTTGTATGTGTTTACCATTTACTGCACAATCGGCACTTTCCTACCCCGCATACAAACATGACAGACAGCTTTTGGGTATTGCTGCACATCTTATGTAAATGGATTATTCTTACCCAAAATTTTGGGGTAAAGTCAACATTTCTCCCAACATTAAAATCTCTGCACCATTTACAGTTGAAGGATCGTCTCTCATTAATTGGTTAAAGAGATCACCTGCAGCAAGAGAAAAACAGAATTCTAACATCTACCTTTAATGCCAGTTTCGCTTATGTAAAGAAATGGGGACCAGTGGGCAGCTTGGTGGGACAGCACTTGCCTAGTATTCACAACGTGACCAGGCAAACTTTTCCTCCATCTCGTCTCAGCTGGAGCTATCTTTGATTTAACCTGAAACTGCTTTTCCCTGTTCTACACCCATTGTGAAAAGTCCCATGGGAAAGTCCCCAACCCTGTTCTAGAAACTCAGGGTTGAAAAGCTCCAGCTGGAACTGCATGTTTTTGGCTTCTGTTAAAACTGCTTGCTGGCTTTATACTTTCCCTTGCCATCGCCAAACAGGATGCAGTTTTTCTGTGTTCTCTGCATTTCAAAGCTCCTTGCAACATGCATGTGAGGCTGCTCTGTGAGAGTGTTTCTCTCCAGGCCTGCTTAAATCAGACTCTCAATTCAGACTTTGGGCTGAGAGGCCTTTGTTTCTCTAAACTGCAGCAATAAAGCCTTGGATTTGATCCCTAGCACCAAGGGCAGGTAGGTGAGGGAGGGTGTCAGATTTCCTTTTAATCTGAACAAAAATAGTATTACAATTTTAATTTTTATCTTCTTCAAAACAGATACAACTGGGTGTAGTCACACAAGGCCAAAATTCTAGTACTTAAAAGTGGGAGGCAGGAGGTTTTGAGATTTAAGCCCAGTCTCAGCTTCATGGTGCTAGGGCAGCTTGGGCTATAAGAATCTCTTTTTCAAAAGAAAAAAACTGAGATATAATATTTATACTTTTCAATACTGTAGCACTGAAATTCAACAAACATTACGATACACGATGCCATTTCTAAATCTTTATTATCACAAAATTCATCTAAAAAAAATCTAGCCACGTGGTATATGCCTGTAATCACAGTACTTGGTAGGTTGGGACAAAGGAGCAAAGCATTCAAGACACTTTGGGATATGCAGTGAGACCCCGTTCCTCAAATAAAACAGAATTAAACAACCAAAAAAAATCTGATCTCACAGAGAATAGATGCTTCAAAAACAATGGAAAATGCTAGCCATAAAACATAAATGCCCTTTAGAAACACCAATATTTCTGAACAGAATGCTAATGCGTATTTGAGCGCACAGGTAACATTCTCAGAGTGTTAGGATATCAATGTATCTTAAACTAAAACTCTCCTGTTATCAGAAGATGACATCATCTTAAGCTGTAGGTTACAAAGGAGCCCATCTCTCAGACGGCCACCATTCACACGGTACAAATACAGGCAACTTGGAATTCGGCAAATGTTAGTATAGGATTGGCAAGGGTAAACCTCTTTCAAAATAATGTGGGCAAACCAAGCGTCAACCTTTCTTTACATACCAGGCAAGTCTTTCTCTTCACATGTTACGGGAATGTTGGTGAACAAAGTAGGCTTAGTCAATCGCATCACTGTAAATTAGGAAAGACAGAAAATTTAAACTGTTGAGGGTTAACGTTCAAGTCGACTGAGCAGCATCCATCAATCCCTTGCTGACATAATGCAATCATAATATTAACTATTAGTACTAACACTATACTCCACAAGTATATTAGTATTATTATCTCCATCATGTAAACAAGGCAGACAATGCCTGCTGGAGGAACTTTGCATATCACGGATAATATATAGTAAAATACAGAGTGGCAGAACCTAAACTAGAACCAGATGGATTCATACTGTTCAGAGTATCCCCCAAACAGTTCTTACTTGTAAACTTGGGGTCACAAAGATGAACCGTCTTATTAAAAATATCCCATTGAAATCAAGCAGGACTCTCCTCCAAATAATGTTAACCAACCGCTCAAGACATGACATGGAGTTGGTGACTACAGCCTTTACTCTTACTTTTTTTTTTAAAGACTTATTTATTTATTTACTCATTTATTTATTTTCATGTACATGAGTGTTTTGCCTGGACGTGTGTACATGTACATGTGGGTGCCTGGTTAGGAGAGGTGATAAGGTTCTTTGGAACTGAAGTTATGGAAGGCTGTGAGCCACTATAATGGAATCTGGTTCCCATGCAAGGGCAGTCTATAAGTGCTCTTAACCCTTGAGCAATCTCTCCAGCCCCCAATCTTACTGTTATCTAGGAAAATAGAAACAAAAACCATTAAAATCATTAACTATAATCTGAAGATGAATAGGTACCCTGAGGGAGGTGTACAAAAGGTAGCCTTCTAAATTTTAAGAGCTAAAATTCAAAGCCCGTCTTCATTGTTCTGTGATTTAGAGAGGATCTCATGAAGCCTCCATGGGCTCCCTCCCATTCTGCACCCTCCAGCCTTAGAGCTCCCGGAACGAGACTACAGGTGTGCACTGCAGCTCTATGCACTACATCACTGGGCAAGCAGAGTTACATACATAGCCCACTCCTTAAACTTTTTTTTTTAATTTTTTTTTATTTTTTGAGGCAGGGTTTCTCAGTAGCTTTTTTGGTTGCTGTCCTGGAACTAGACCAGGCTAGCCTTGAACTCAAAGATCCGCCTGCCTCTGCCTCTGCTGGGATTAAAGGCGTGCGCCACCCCTGCCGGGCTAAATTATTTTTAACATCTTCTTAAAGGCAGGTAGCTAATTAGGAAAAAAAAATATGATATGGCTGCCTCTTTCCTAGAGTGCTGACTGCATTTTTTCAAATGCTCTCACTGATTTATCTTTCCATATTTATCTTTGTTTCCCTAGTATATTCTACATGTGACTAAGTAGTGGAATTTGGAAACAGTGTAATTACTTGCATGCAGTATAGATATCGAATCAGAATCTCACTAGTCTCATAATTCTGGCCAAGCAAAATGAATATGCAATTGCACTTGGCCCAGTTCACTAGTTCATGACTTTGGCCTTTATGATACCAGCTAACGGCAGATCACCTAGCCCCAGGGATCCACATATGGCACTAAGGTCAATTCCTAGACCAGAGGGGTGAGTGGTGGGCAAAAGCACACCAGACTTGATGACCTCAGCTCAAGTCCCAGGAGCTACATGGTAGAAAGAGAGACCCAATCAATCACTGCAAGCTGTCCTCTGACGTCAATATATATGCACTGTGGCGTGTGCACTAACATGCAAATGAGCAATAAATAAATGTAACTTAAAAATAAAATAAAAGCCTTCTAGAGCCAGGCGATGGTGGCACACGCCTTTAATCCCAGCACTTGGGAGGCAAAGGCAGGCGGATCTCTGTGAGTTCAAGACCAGCCTGGTCTACAAGAGCTAGTTCCAGGACAGGCTCCAAAGTCACAGAGAAACCCTGTCTCGAAAAACAAAAACAAAAAAAGCCTTCTAGATTATAACAGTGGGTCTAAGTTCTCAGGCCTTGACAACCTCTTAAGACTCATCTAGGTAGATGGGAAATACTTTTCTCCTTTGGATCACTATGCTATTTGAAGGAAAAAAAATCTATCTCTCAGTTTTTACTTTTATTGTTTTTCAGAGAAGTAGAAAGCAATTCATCCAGAGTAAGTCAGAAAAATTTAGATCTTCGGCATATGAAAACAAAGAAGCTCTTTTTAGCTCTTGGATTTAAAAAACTGTTAATAGCCTCATTGTAACTTACATTTTTAGTTCTGTTATAAATACTTTAAAATAACAAAACTATCCAACTTTTAATCCTTAATTGGAAACCTTGTAATAAATTCTGAAAAATATAAATCAGACATACTGTGTGAAGACTTAATCTTACACATACCCCGCATTATACTTAGGTGAGTTAAAAAAAACAAAGCAAGAGACTTTAAGGATTCATTAAAATTCAGTCCATTCATTTAAAATCAACCAGTGGTGATAAAGATTAGAACACTTACTTTTAATTTTAGTACAGACAATAATTCATCACAGTTCACTTAAAAGAACACCAATGAACAGAATCTAGAATGTTTCTGACTTGATTGACAAGCCTTGGAATCATGTGACATTTATTTATATATTGAACACAAACTGTCTACATATCAGACAACTATTTCTTCACATTATAAAGGAGCATCAAATTTTCAAAGTCACTAAAATTGCAGTGACAGTAAAATTAATTCATTTTATAATGTCAGTCCATATTCATTTCATTCAGAATATTTTTCTGATAACCAGAATTCATTACATACTAAAAATAACACCATATTTACGTACAAATAAATTAATCTTTCCAATAAGAGATAATCTTTCTTTAAGAAGACCTCCTACATATTCACAGTACATAATATCACAGAACACCCATATCTGGCCTAACTGTCTCTGGATGGTGGCATTACACGAGGGAAGTTCATTGTGCCGGATGAGGTGATTGAGTTTTGTCCAAATGTCTTCCAGAGTCTGCTTGTTACAAACATTGTGTTCTAATGTCCATCTTGCTCTATGAAGGGAGTGCAAATGTAATGTCTTTAAACTATCTCGCAATTTCTTAGACAAAGGAAAACTCTTTTCTGGACAGTGTTTGCTGGCAAGTGAAATGCTCCAGGATCTTTTCTGGTGCTGATTCTCGTTTCCTGAATTGCTACCTAAAGTTCCAGAATTAGTCTGCTCGTGCAGTGCGCGTGACTGGAGCAGGTGCTGCGTTTCCACACTAGGATGGAACTCCAGAAGATCTACTGTGCAATCGTAGCTCTGAGATTTAACACTAGGTTCTGAAATGGCTAGGCACTCTTTTACACTCTCAGCAGCCTCTCTAGAAATGACTGGTGGTAATCTTTTAGGCTTGAGCGGCAGTTTGGACCCATCTTGTGGAAACCAAGGAATAAATCTTGATAGCGGGTGGGTTGGAAAGTCCTGAATTGCCTTTTCTGCAATTTTTGCCAGCTGTGTGGGATCTTTTTCATATGGCCGATAATGCAGTATCACTTCCGTGGTCATTCTGCAGTAATCCATTAACTCTTAATGAAGAGGAAATTCCTTAGCCGAATTCTTCAGAGCTAGAATGCAATTTATTATTTATAAGACTGTCTTTCGGGTCAAATCAGAAGAAACAGGACCTAAAGTGGAAGTATTGCAAAGAATAAGATTTGGCAGGGACAGGCGGCATACAGACAGGAAGGGAGGAGAAACCAAAATCCATTCCCCGTATGGTATTTGTGAACAAAGTGCTGTGGCAAATGTGAATATGATCACAATACTTGAAAACCCTTCTCACAACATTAAAGTGTCTGAATTAGATTCCAATCAAGATTATATATAGCCTGAAAATACTGATAGTTAATACGTTTAACTAAGTAGATATAAAGGATTTTGAAATACTATCATTAAAATATTGATAATCATTGTCCCCAAACCATAAGAGGAACATGCCCATCTATAACTCCAGCTCGAGTATTTGACACCCTCCTTTGGCCTCCGTGGGCACTGAACAGACCTGGTGCACAGACACAGATACATGTACAGACAAACATGTAGGAACATATCCATATAAAGTCTTCTAAAAAACATTGTTTTTAAAAAAGAAAACCGTGACTTCAAAATTAAGAAAACTGAAATTACTACTTTTTTTTTTAATTTTGTTTTGTTTTAGTTTGTTTGAGAAAGGGTTTCAAGAAACTCTGGCTATCCTGAAACTTACCACATAGACCAAGATCCACTTGCTTCTGCTCCCCTCTCTGCTGGGATTAAAAACATGCAACATCCTGCCCATTTCAAAATTAGTAGCTTAAAAAAATGTATATAGGATAAAAATGATATGATTATACTCTAAAATTTTATAAATCCTACCAATACAGAGGTAGACTATTTACCCTCTTTCTCTATAATAAACATCGAAAACATGAAAATGGATTAATTTTGCAGGTCAATCCAGATAGAAAATAGAGGTATGACAAAGTCTTCTTGGTATAAAGGTGGTATCTAAGTAGCATTTAGATGAGGTTTATGACTCCCGAAGCCAATGTATGGCTTCCTCACCGATGCCAAGGAAGAAGAACACAACACAGAAGTTCTCATGATGTACCAAATTAAAGCAGCGACAGGAAGTTCCAGCAAAGAAGGCCTCGAGAATGGAGCCGGCCAGGATCTATCTGATCTACAAGTTGAGCTTCGTAAGGGGTCCAAAGCTGAGTATAATAGAGGCTCTTCTACACACACACACACACACACACACACACACACACACACACACGAGCGCACACGCACACGCGCACACACACACTTCTACTCTCAAAACATGAGAAAACTAACCGGATGCAGGCTCTTACACAGCCAGGCTAACTATGCCCCACATTCTTTAAGTAACTGATAATCATCACTTCTTGGCTTTTTTGGGCCATGATTAAGGATGAAGAATTAATGAGTATCTTTTTCTTCTCCCTTCTTTATATCTTTCATGGTAAGGTAGGGTATTGAGAATTCTTTTATTGTTGTCTGTACTTATTCAGTGATACACACAAGAGACAGCAAACTAGCCAAAAATCCAAGCAGAAAGAGAAGAATCAAAAATCAGGAACTAGCTGAAGATAAAGTTAGATTGTAATCTTGAGAATAATCTTTAGAAACAGTTTTCCCCTTGTACTGTGTTTTAGGTACTAGCTGATTATGACCTTGGGAGTGGTCCTGAGAGGCAGGGAGTTGCCCCCTTGTGATCTTCACTGGTATTTTTGGATTTTTCTGTGACCCACTCCGTGCCAATTCCGGACCACTGGGCTGTGGTTTCTTCCCTTAAAAATCGCTTCTCCCAGCCTGGAGATGGTGGCGTATGCCTTTAATCCCAGCACTCCGGAGGCAGAGGCAGGCGGATCTCTGCCAGTTCAAGACCAGCCTGGTCTACAGAGCTAGTTCCAGGACAGGCTCCAAAGCCACAGAGAAACCCTGTCTCGAAAAAACCAAAAAAAGAAAAAACAAAACAAAACAAAAAACCCCCAAAAAATTGCTTCTCCTGGTCACTCGGGGTCGAACTCTCCCCCTGCATGGGTTACGAGTCTCGGTCCCAGTGCACTGGTTCCCGTCTCATCTTAGCCTTAAAGCCTCGTGTGATTGCAGCAAGGACGGTCTCTCGGGAGTTACTGGGGGGGTGGGGGTTGTGTTATCCCGGGACTTGAGGGAGAGTCTCCCAGCACTGGGGGTCTTTCAACAGCTGTGACCCTGTCTCAAAAAAGAGACAAGTGATGGAGAGAGTGAGAGAAGAGAGAAGGCTGAAGACACAAAGAGTAAAAAGGTATTATCCTAACGTTTAACACATAAGAGAACAAAGTTAAATGGCAGTTTAAATGGTATGCTTGAACAGTCAATATCAGTAAAACTAAACCCCGTGAAATTCTTTATTATCTAGCACAATGCAGACAAAACAGTATCAATGAGGTTTAATATAAAGTTGATGTCCTGTTAGTCTGATTAAGTATTGTTTTCTAGGCATTTTGTGTTTCTAAAAATAAAAAATAATAACAAATAAAATTCCCTATCTGTAGCACGAATAATAAAAACCCAGACATAGATATTGGGATTCAAACCGAAAACCAGAAAAGCAATGCAGTCAAGTCACTAGAAGTCTTACCTCTACCAAGGCTGGGTGAGTGCAGACTAAGCCTCTCTCTCCTCCCCCTTTCTATTCCCTCTAGTGTTGGCATTAAAGGGGTGTGACTCCCTAGTACTAGGATTAAAGATGTGAGGCACTACCACCTGGAGATTGTTTGTGCACTGATCTTGTGTAGCCCAGGCTGGCCTTTAACTCATAGAGATCTATTTGCCTCTGTCTCCCAAATCCTAGGAGTAAAGGTGTGTGCTACCACTGCCTAACCTCTAGTGGCTTAGCTTTGCCCTTCTGGTAGTCAGGCAAGTCTTATTTATTAAAACATAACCTATCACTGGAGTTTTTAGTAGTGTCAAAATTGTGTGAAATTATACTTAACAACTAATATGACTGTTAATAGTGTCAGAGTTGCCAGGCAGTAGTGGCACACGCCTTTAATCCCAGCACTCTGTGAGTTCAAGGCCAGCTTGGTCTAAAGCTAGTTCCAGGACAGGCACCAAAGCTACTTAGAAATCTGGTCTTGAAAAACAAACAAACAAAAACCCAAACAAACAAAAAAGAATTGTGTCAGAGTTGTGTGAAATCACACTTAGCATCTAATATAACTGCTTTAAATTCATATAGAAGTCATCAGGCAACAGAGGTATTAGATATAAATCCTTGGCATTATCACGCGATATTACCTACAGATAAGGGAAAGCCCGGTAACTTTGTCCTGTCACATGAACGGATCAAAGAGTAATAAAAATTGCTTTAAACGCCAGCTGAAATTTACATTGGTTCACAGAGATCTCCCCAGCAGGGTCGAGGCATGAGCTTTTGGGGATAAAATCTGGTGTCTGCGGTAGCACAGACCACAGTGGAATTTAGGATTGCATTTCAATCTAGAAGGCGTCTCTCAGTACCTAGCAAGAGACGAGCCCTTTCGTGTTTAATGATAAGGCTTACGTAGGAAATCTTTCAAATACTGAAGGGGGGGGGGGAGAGAAAAAAAAAAGAGTAAAGAGACTCAGGCTCGTAACAGTTTACCTTTTAGAGCCAGCAGGTGCTCCTGTTTCGGAGGATTCACTTCCATCTTGACAGGCACTTCTGATCAGTGGCTCACCCTTGCGTCGGAAGGAAACTAGAAAGCACAAGTCCCGGAAGACCCGGCGTCAAAAGCACGCCCAACTTCTTTCTGCTCGTAATAACTTAAATTTTCTTTGCATTAAATCCGTTTCGGCACCAGTGAAAATCTCTTTACGAAGACCATTCCTTCCCTCAGAATGACACAGGCTGACTCCAAAGAGCCACTTTTAGCTGACAATAAACGGGCTTCCAAAACCACGGGTGGGGGTGGGGGAATACTCGAGTGGCATGCTGGGATATGTAGTCTATTTTATTCAAATTTGGCAGAGTCGGGGGCGGGGATTAGCTGATTCCTTCAGTCTGACTCGTTTCAGTTCTGGGAGAAAAAAAATCATTACAGGAGCGGCACTTTCACCCTAAAATTTTATCCATGCCCTATCCGTTCTTTTTATTTTCTCTCTTCCCTCCATTTTTCGCAGGCACCTTCATGAAAAACAAAGCGTCCGCGCGCAAGCCGTACAGCCAATGACTGGAGGGAAGAGGACAGGCCGGAGGAGGCGGAGCTGCGCCACGCCTGTACTGCGCACGCGTGCCCGGCGGCTCGCGCTGAGGCTTCTGGGTAGGTCGCTCAACCCCGCCTCTCAGTTAAAGGCGCTGCTGCTGCTGTGGCGCCGCTCCTTCTAGGATGGCTGCCCTAGCTGTAAACAAACCCGGAGCCGGAGTAGACAGTGGGCGGCAGGGCAGCCGGGGGACGGCGGTAGTGAAGGTGAGGGAACTCGCGTGCTCCGTTCTCCATCAGCGGCCTCCCTTCGCTTCGCCCTGGAGACCTGATGGCGACTGTCCGGCCCAGGCTTGGCTGGGCGGGATGCGCGGCCTCTGGAACCCGACCCCGGTGGGCGTTACAAGCCCTCCCTGCCCCGCCGCGGACCTTGCCCCGCTGGCTTGAAGTTGCATGGTCTTCTAGCTCAGGTGTCCACGTCGTCCGTGGGGCTGTCTGTGAAAAGCACCGCGTGGGCCTGTGGAAGTTGACCTGACTTGGTCTTTCCCCTGCTCTTCTGTTTTCTAGTGAAACCTCCGCAGGCTCGAGTTGGCGGAGATACATTAATCAGCCTTTACAGTAGACAAGTATCTGTGGTCAGTGTTTCAGTTTGCTATTATCGACCCGAAAGGTAGACGTTAATTCGCATTTTACATGGTAGGAACCCTAGGCTTAGGTTAATACAGCAAGTGGTGAGGGCCCAGCGTTTGCTAGTTGTCTGTAAAAGTCTGCTTTTCAATATTGCTTTGTTGCTATAATCATTCACGTATTTTGTGTTGTTTTTTGAGAGAGTTTCTCAGTAACTGTGCAGCCAGACCTGGAACTCACTCTGTAGACCAGGCTGGCCTCGAACTCACAGAGATCCTCCTGCTCAACCTCCGGAGTGCTAGGATTAAAGGCGTGCCCCTCTGGGTTACACTTACATTTTTGAGACGCCCTTTGCCTTTGAATAGAACAGTGTGAAAACCTGCGAAAAGTCTCCAACAGCAGCATAGTTGGGGTTTGACAGTAGCTTGGAAGATTCTGCCATATACTTACAAAATGCCTTTACTAAAGTACTTTTTACTTTAGAAGGACTTAGTATTTAGTACTTTTTTCTTTAGAAGAAGGACGTGAAGCTCGTTTTCCCATCTGCTGTAACGTAGATCTGAAAAGAGTGAGTAGCTCAGGGAGTAACTTTGAAGATGATCTGTAACCGTTCTGAGTGTGCTGACCATCAGTGCAGTTTTTAAATTCCCTGAAGTGGTTTTAATGTTCACTTGAATGGATAACAGTGAACCAAGTCCAGTTGCACATTCTTTTAACTAGTTAAATGGTAGCTTTTTTTAAAGACAGGTCTTTTTCTTTTTTTGAGAAATTTATGCTAATAATTTATTAGTGATCTTTTTTATTGGTTGTTGATTCAGTTAACTTTGTATATTGAATTGAATTCAAATTACTATGATGGATATAAAGATCTGAAATGTAGAGGAGTCCTCATTATTAGACCTATTTTATTGTTGAGATATAATCATTTGAACTATGCGTTTGCCAAATGGAGACTACCAGAATATTGTGTGAATTTAAAGTTTTTTCCATGATTGCAATAAATATCGTGCCATCTATTCTCCTGAGCACGTTCTTTTCACCCTACTCATACAGTGTTCTGTGTATATACGTAAGAACTTTAATGGCCTGCAGTTAGAGTATGAATGCACTATAATTTATCTTTCAATTTAGTATATATATGTTTACTTTGTTTTCATTTCTTTAATGATATAAATGGTGATTTAAGGGATAACACCTTGATCTTGTCACACGTGGGCTGGGGATTTGCCTGACGTGCAGAAGTCTGAGATCCCTGGCAGTAGAGACAACAATCTCACCAAGGGTGAAGGTAGTTCAGAGTAGATTCCTTAAACTGCTGAATTGCTTTTATGGATGCTGTTATTACTCAGTAACTTTTTTCCTATCAGTTAGTGAAATTGTTTTCCTGCATTTCCTCCAACTGCTTGCATTTCATTAATACAAAACATTAACAACTTTTTTGAAAAAGTTTCTTGGTGTAGTTTTTCTTTGCACTTTAATGAGTTAGATTGAACTCTTAATATAAAGTTTTCTTTATATATTTAGCTTAATATAATTTATTTCCTTTTTTTCTGAAACTATGTTTGTTTCTTTTGAACTATACCAGTATTCAAGGCAAATAAGAATTACCAGTTTAATTACAGTAAAAGATATCTGCATCTCAATTTTTAAAAAGATTTATTTATTTATGTGTAATAAATACATAGTATAAGGGTGTTTTGTCTGCATGTACATCTGCGCACCAGAAGAGAGCATTGGATCCTAAGGGACTATGGTTATAGGTGGTTGAGAGCCACCATTAGATGCTGGGAATTGAACTGGACCTCTAGAAGAGCAACCAGTGCTCTTAACCACTAAGCCATCTCTCCAATCCTGCATCTCAATTTTTCAGTCTAAATGTATTGGAGAATCAAGTTTAAAATTGTGATGTGTCTAATAAGATTTCTACTCTTAACTTTTCTATTTTTAATTTGTTTTATGTGTGCTTGGTGCTGGACTGAATTACTTTAAAATTTTTTTATTATGTTAGATTTTATTTACCTAAGCACATAGGTGCTTGCTATTTGGTGCGTACTGTTCTGTGCTCTTGTTCTAAAAGGGAAAGACAGGTTAGTCAGTGAAAGTATGGAAGTCTTTGAGTCAGACAGGTGGGTAGATATTCAGAGTCCCAGGATAATGTAGTTGTTTCAATTAGAGTGATAGGTGGGTAGACCAAGGTAGGATAGGGTATTTTGGAATTTTTTGGTTAATGAAAAGAAAAACTTTAAAAAGATAACCAGAAGGCAAATGTTTAGTTGTTTCCTCAGCATTAATTAGAATAAAGCAAGAGTCAAGAAACACTGCCCTGTCTGGGGACACACTTGGACCTTAGGGCTCTGCAGGGTATGGCAGGGAAGTAAGAGTACAGGACCAGACTAGTGTCCTGATTGGTAGACAATGGAATAATTAATTCATTGTGAATATTTTAAAAAAGTAATTAAAATGAAAACAACACAATAGTGTAAAAGCACTGAAAATATTATGATAATTACAGTTTATAATTGTTTATAAAATCCTAACCCAAGGACCTGAGAGTCAGAGTGAGCCAAGTCTCACAGGTTTTTTTTTTTTTTTTTTTACTGCTTTTTGGTAAATTGTATACCTGTAGTTATAACTAGATAGACAAATATTTTCCCAGTAAGAGCTACTATTAATAAAGAATTAATAAAGAAATTGAAATTTAATTTTCAGCTAATTTGGGTTTTGCATTATTTTGTGAAGTCTAGAAGATACTTAACTATTTCTTGGAGACTTTCCTGCAAGTTCTTTATAGTTTAGAAAATTGTCACCCCAATACATGGTTTAGATTTTTTTTTTTTAAATCAGCGGTGTATTAGCTGAACATAGTGGTACATCCTGTAATCCTAGCATTTGGGAGGCAGAGGCAGGAGGATCATTGTATTTTTGAGGCCATCTTGGACTGAGTTCCATCCAGGGCTGTTCAGTGAAATGTCATCTTTCTTTGAAATAAAACAGGGTTTAGAGAGATGACTAATCAATTGAGGACACTGACTGCTCTTTTGGAGGATCCAGAATTGATTCTTAGCACCAACATGATGGATCACAACCATCTGTAACTGGTTCCAAAGAATCCGATACTATACTCTCTTCTAACTTCTGTGGGCACTGCTCCAATATGGTGCACGGACAGACATGCAGGCAAAACATCCTATGTGCTGATTTTTGTGTGTGTGTGCTTTGACAAATAAAGCTTGCCTAAAGAACAGAGTGCAGAGCTAAGCCACTAGAGGCCAGGCATTGGTGACACACACCTTCAGTCCCAGGACTCAGGAGACAGAGGCAGACTGTGAGTTCAAGTCTACCCTGGGCTATTCGAAATTCATCTAGTCTATATGAGAAACAGAGCTCTCACCAAGGTGGTCTCAGCACATGGGATTCCATGCCTTCAATCTCAGCACTAGGGAGGTGGAGACAGGAGTGATATGGTTGGTCAGAGATCTTTAACCTCCTAATATCTGACTCCAGGTTTTACTTATTAAGATAAGTTAGAATTCCTGCTACATCCATGCACGAACATACATCTCAAAAAAATTTTAAAAAAGGAAAGAAAAGCAAAATGAAATGATTGTTGATTGGGGATGTCAATAGAACTACAAATTGTTACTATTCAGTTTTCAGAAGATTAGATTATGTTAATTATGTCAATTTGCAACATACGAGTGTTTCAAAGAGGTTTCACTTTGGCAAGTTTTCTCTAATGGAAATGAATAAAAATGTGAACTAAGGTTTTATAACTTAGTTGTTTTTTTTTTCCCATGGAGGAATAAAGTAACAAAGTTGATTCAGTATACTAGGACAGTTCTTTTAAAATCAAAAATAGGGACTGGCAAGATGGCTCAGAGGTTAAGAGCACTGGCTGCTCTTCCAGAGGTCAGGAATTCAATTCCCAGGAACCACATGGTGGCTGACATCCATCTAAAATGTGATCTGGTGCCCTCCTCTGG